TATAATTATTTATTAAACACTAATTAAATTGAGAGAAAAATAAAACTAATTAAATTAATCAACCTTTTTGTAATCAAATTTCCGGTAAATTTCCGGTTGAATCAGAAGTTAATGAAAAATATCGGCACTTTTACAAAAATTTGAACCAAACTTTATGATGACGATGACGATGTTCTTTCTTGAAAGAAATTTAGTTTATTTCATTATTCTTACTTCTCCGATTTTTGGAGAAAATGCCTGCAGTTGATTGAATTCAAGAATAGACTTGGCCTCAGTCTACTTGTCATTAAGAAAGAAATCTGGATGGACGCTGGGGACTCATTTGTACGTATAAGAAAATCTCTCATGAAAGAATTCCATCCTCATAGCCAGTTGAGGAATGATAATTGGTATAGAAGAATTTCTCAGATATTCGTGGAACTAATTTGAGCTGCGTCGATGACATTGACGTATCATGTATCGCCAGGTGGGACTATGACAGTGGGACTATCACCGGACAATGAAAACAGGTAGAATGACTCAGTTCAGAGCCTTGACTTTTAGGCCCAATAACAGTAAACCTATCCTTTAAGAGTACGAATGATATCAGTGGCTCACCTATATTTCTATTGCCAAATGATTTCCTGGCAAAATTTGTCTGGTCCGACAAGCCAGCGAACCTAACCAACAATGGTGAGGTTGTTAGAAAAAAAATCAATTTGAGCATCTTTCAGACCATAAGGCTAATTTTTCTCTTCTTTTAAGATTTATCAACTACGTTTTGAGCATTGAAAAAATTAAAAAACATCTACGTTTGGACGCAACTCGAAGGAAATTGGTTATAATTCTAGCAAACGGATTTAGCAAGAAACTTGAAATTCACGACTGGGGCTTGGCTGGAAAGAAAAGTGAGATGTGGGAAGGTGGAGACTCTGGACAGCAATCTTCTTATAGACATTATAATCCACATAATCATTTTAATGGCCAGCATTTCTTTTCATCGAAGAACGTTAAGAATTTCTGGTTCAACTGGTTCTAACTAATTCACTATTAGATCAATACGTTTCCGAAATGTTTTTTACTGGAAATTATCGGCTGTTAACCACTATTATTAGATAAAGGCCTGGATGTAGATTTAAATGTAACAAGAAAATAACACAATTTAATAATTTCAGGTAACCAATTAACATCTCTGTCTGGCCTAAATTTAGGTTTTTGCTTTTGCTTTTCTTTTTGCGCTGATCGTTAACAATAAGTTAACTCAGCTGGCTTGCCAGGAGCTGGCGCGGTTTATTGAAGATTTACTCCTGCCGTGGATGCAGTTCCAAAACTTTTACTGCAATCCTACTCCTTAAGTCCATTCTGCTTCTTATTTATTAAATTCGGATTTTTATTTCGAATTTTTTCTTTTGCACCTATCTTTACAATTGATTTGAACAAATTTGCTTTCTTTTCTCCTTTTTCACTCTTTATAGCTGAATTTTTTAAGAGAAAAAATGCTTCATTGCTTCGATGCCTTCGATTTCCATGAAACTTGCTTCTCAAAGAACTAAAGAAATTGTTTAGATGCAGATATGTCAATATACGTTTTGATACTATCGCTGAATGTCTTACGGAGAATTTGTGCATCATACAGTATTTTACCAGAAAAACCAGAAAGTTTTCTTATTGAAACTTGCTCACTTGAACGAAAATCGCTCACTGACAATGTATTATTTGTAAGTTTTATTATTATATAACTGCATTTTGTTTAATTTAATTTGATTTTGATAAAAGATTAGCAGAAAAGATGATAAATAGATTAATTTGATTAATTTTTTGTAAAATAATAAATATTTATATTTACACGGGAACACGAGAAAGGCAAAATTTTTTTCTTTCCAACTGGTATATATTTCTACGATGAATTTAGCCAATTTCTGGGGAGAAGGTTTTAACTTCGACCACTATTTGGATTAACATCTGTCGGCGAAAGACGAGCAAAATTTGGAATTTTCGTCAAAATCGGTGGTTTTACTACAGTTTTTTGTTAACATCGGCCCCCAAGATAACTGCTTTATTTTAAGAAAGCTGTGATAATATTCTGAAGCTGCTGAATTGAATCTGTACATTGTATATTGTTTGGTTTTCTATTAATGCTTAGATATCCTTTAAATATCCACAAATTTCTTTCTTTTTTCTCTTTTATTAATCTTCATGATTAATTTGGAGATTTAATATGGATTTTATTATGAATAGAAATCAACAAAATATTTGCACCAAAATTTTTCTCTAATCATTTTTAAAAAAAGTTGGATTTACTTTTAGCATACAATTCAATTTCAATTTGCTCAATTTCGCGAGGCTTCTGAAAATTTACGCTGGATTTCAGTAATTCAGAGATATCCTTAGGGAAAGTAAAATTTAAATGCAATTTCCAGGTATTTCCCGAAAAAGTTAAATTCTGCGGGACATTTTTTACGACAAAGAATGAAAATAATTATGTGAGAGATTCGAAACGAACAGCGAATTTGAAATCTGTAATAAGCATATCGTGGAATGAAGTTGGCCAGACAAATCGCTCGTGCAAATTGCAGTTTAAAGTTTTTTTTCATCTATTTGCTCGTATTATTTATTAATTCAACTTTTCTCAATTTCTTGTCACGGCATTTACTGCATCGACAATGATTGACAATTCGTGTTTATGCGAAATGACTAGCTTTAATAACTAACTAACCAACAGCTTGATGGTCACATATTTTTACTATAATAATTCAAAAGATAAAATAAAATATCCATCAAAGAATTCCTTGAAGATATCAGTTGTAGATATTAAGCAAGATAGGATGAGTAAAAACAGCTGGAATGGCGCAGAGGGTGCTCTCATTTCAGGACGATGCAAATTCTGGCATTTTATTTTCTACAAATCTATTTTCTCAAAAATTTCTTAAAAAGTCAGGTTATGCTAGCGACTCACCTGTAATTCTATCGCCATGTGAGTACCTAGCAAAATTTGTTTGATCCAACAAGGGAGCATTACGAGTCTAACCAGAAATACTTAGCATTCTTAGAAAAAGAAATATGGTGGTGGGACCATTCCCAAAAAATCGATCAAAATTCAATTTTAGAAAAATTAGAATTGGAACAACTAATTGAATAAAAATAGATACCGGAAAACGCTAGAAAATGTTGATTTAAATACTCCGATCTAAACGAAGATATAAAGCGAAATTTGATTTAAAAGTGGATTTATTAGTTTCTAATTTTAAGCGTTGAATAAGAGAGAGATGATAGTCGAGTCGAGTTGGCAAAGCTAGAAAGTGATGTTCTTGTGCAAGGACCCTAATGGATTCTAATGGACTTAGGCTCAGCAGACTTGGCTAAGACTAGAAATGAAAAAAGAAATCCATTCTGATCGAGTTTTCTAGTTAGATTATGTGTGCTTTTCCAGTAAGATGGAAAACTGAAACTCGGTGTCCAAGGAAAAACGCCTAAATTTTTTCTTTTCTAGACCTATATATATATATATAATATAATATAATAATAATACTATATATATATATAGTATTATTATTAGTATTATTTGTATTTTTAAATGTTTTTCATACCTCTCATTTTCATTCGTATATTCATTTTAAAATCTTCATTTGATTGAATACTGGTTTATGTTTCTATAAAGCCACCCAATGGTTTTTGAAAAAGTCTATTTGACGCCTGAAGGTTTTTGGAAAATTCCATTGACAAAGTCATTTCGAGTCGTTGAACTGAACATATTGCGATGAATTTTCTTCTTTCTTAATCAACAAATATTTTATGCTTAGAATTTAAGATTGAGATAAGATTTAAGATTATAAAGGGTATTTGATAGTTCTTAATGTGACTGTCTGGCTGCAATTTCGCTTGGTCATTTGGTATCAAAATGGATTGAAGATTTTTGAAGTCTCCTGCTTCTTCAAAATTTAACAAATTAGAATTAGATGTGTAAATCGGGAGGGAGAAGAGAGGAGAGGGGAGCTCTCGTCTCATTTACATTGCTCGGGATCGGATTTCCATTGCCATTACTGATAAACTGGCATGTCGCAGCTCTTCGTGACGGTCAGGACTACGTTATATTTAAGATCTTTACACATCACCTGAATATCAACAAGCGATGCCCAATCTAATGGTATTTTAGGCAAAAAAATACATCCTTGGCTTATGCTAGTTTCTGTCTCGAAAGAAAGCACTAGTTTCCAGTAGCTAGTCTATACACAGGCTTTCGCTAAGATACACTGGTAAACTGCTTTGATTCCCTCTTAAAATATTATCGACTGCACTGGGCTACTTTTGCCATTTAATTTCATACCCATTCTTTATTATTTTTCATTTTTTTTAATTTTTATATTGCTGATTTTCCTTTCACAGTGGAAATAAATCCACCATAAATACCAGTTTATTGATAATGAGGTTTCAGCGCACATGGCGCAATCTATTCTTTACTAAATTTTTTTTCCAATTTTCGGAATTATTTTGCTGGAAATTATACCGAGAAAAAGGCTAATTACGGGACCTATCCAAAAAAGCCAAACATTAGAAAAAAGTCGTCGTTTGACTATTTCACTCAGCTTCACTAGAATTTTTTCCTACAGTTGACATATGTTATAGAATAAAAGAAAGGCCTAGAACATCAATATTTATTTTAATAAGGACCAAGCATAACAGAACAATATGAGAATAGGTATTGCTAGACACCGGTTGGGTCAAACAGAAATATTAAGAAAAGTATCGAATTATCAAATTATTCTATGCCAGCCAAAACCTTTATTTCGACTTACCATTTAGCCCTTATCCTTCAGCAGTTATAAATTTAATTTAACGCTGCCGATAACAAGTTTTATTATCTTTCAAAACTATATAACGATAGCACAGACGCCTTATCTTATTCTTATAACTTATTCCAGTAGTTGATAATGCGAATGAAAATATTTGAAAAATCATTCCACAAATAGATTCTAGCAAATTCGAGTCATTGGATCACTTTCGCTTGAGCTTAGGCTGAGCTTATGACACTTAATACAGTTTATTTTTTAACTGTGTAACTGTGTCACTTGCTGATATCAAATCCTGTTTAATTCTTCTCAAAGAGTCAAGGCCAATGTAGTTTTATTCTTCCTTATAATTAATGATACTACTAAGATTTGGAAGATATATTTGTGTAGTCCTTGAACGGATCTATTCGAATATTGGGTTCCGTACCTCTATAATTTCTACTTTTTTGTCATCAAAGTGAGACGATGGTCTCAATAATAATTTTATTTTTCATTTATTCCCTTTCAGGGCTACAATAATCCGTACAGAATATCACCAGATTTTGGTTACTACACAGCTTGCCAAAAATCCATATCATTATATCTTTCACAGTTAGTTGCTCAGGAAACTCTCACTTGGGACTCGTCCAACGAAAATTGTCCATTGTATCGCTTGCCCAATAATTACGAGGTTGGTCAAGAATATTCTGCAGCAAAATTGGAATATTATTGTTGAATCTGAAATACGTTAAAAGAAATTTGGTGGCGAAACACTTAAGTTTATATTTACGAAACTCATGATATTCCAATTTTAGTACAAAAAAATTATGAATGTTGCATTTTAGGCGATAAAATTTTATGAAAAAAAGGTTTCTTGCTTTATTAGCCATTAGCCATTGGCCTATTATATTAGCACATCGTGAACAAATATCAGCTAATTATTTGCCAGTACTGCTAATGAATTTTTTGATCTTCTTCTGAATATTCTGATTATAGAGTTATTTGGCTTGCGATTTCGTTCGAAATCGTTGGTATGAGTTGTTCTTTTCAAGTGCTATACAATATGAATTATATTACAAAAAAATTTACCGGAAATTTTGGGCAAATTACACAAGTACCTTCCTTATTAAACCAACTTATGTGGTTCGCAAAAATGGCACTGAAACTGATTGGCTCTCAGACTTAATATCATTGCAAATAAGGTTATTCGATGTTTATTTTCAGAAAAGGAATTTTTCTTGAAAATTTTAGCGAACTGAATGCTTAAAACTATATGGAATTCGCGTTGAGAATCATAGTGACTAGATCATTCAGTAAAGGGAATAGCAAATGCCATAAGTTCTGTTCATCTCCCTTCGATTCTTTATTGACCCGTTAACCAAAGGTAGAATTATGATAGCACCTTTGTCTCCATTCCTATCTATCTGGCAGATGTTTTATGCTAGCATTCAACGGAATCAACCAAACCAAAGAGCGTGCTAGACGATGAAAAATGATATTTGATGATTTATTGCAATCGCCTCATGGTTTGTGGTTCTATAGCGATTAATTTTGGTGCATGGCTCAATTGAACATTTCAAATAAATAAATATTTCGATAAAGGTCGTCATATAAGTTTAATTCGTTGAATCATTCTTAATTTCAGGTTAAAGGATTGCAACTATGCGGAATATTTAATTAGCATCGATCCATTTTGGCCAGTACCATTATCAGTTACATTGCGTTATCGTATAAGGACAACAGTTCATGTTCATTATGTTTCTATCTTATTCAATTCTACTATAAATCGATGGAAATCATCAATTTTCCCTATAATATCATCGACATTTCTTCATGAACTTTGTATTCAAGTTTGTACCTTTTAATCATTTTTAATTTGCTTTTAATTAAATTAATTAGAAATGATTAACCGAAAATATACAATTTTTTAATAGAAATAAGCTATAATAATTTTAAACAATTCGAACAATAAATTTTTAAAATTTTTAAAATAAACTCGAATATGTAAATTTTTAATTTCGATTTAAATTTTTCGGAAAATATTTTCATTGAAATAAATTGGCAGAAATTCTAGTCGAAGCAAGCTTAAATATAAAATAATGCGAAACAAATCTTTTCTCGATATTTATCAAATTTGCCAGATTTAGCACATCTGTTAGATGGTTGCATTCTTGTGAAAAAAGTGAAAAATTCCTTTCAATTGCAATCTAATTATTAGCGTATACGTAAGCGACGAGAAATTTAAATTATTTTATTATTTGGAAAAATTAAAAATGAAATTTTTTTGGTTAATTCTAAGTGATTTATAACCATTTTCTTAATTGCAAGAATTAATAAAATTACTTTTTTTCCTGTGAGAATTAGTATTAGTATTTCGCACTTTGAACTTTCGATCTAAAATTGGTTTTTTTTCGCCGAATAATATTTTTTCAAATTTTCAATCGAATTTTAACAATAGCTTTCAATAGCTTGAAACTAAGCCATCATTTAAGCCTTCTCACAGAAAAAGAATTTTCTTTTTCTTCTAATAGCTCTCACCATTCCTGGTTAGGCTGGTACCACTGGCTACAAGGGTAAGGCGTTTCCAAGCTGCTCGATCGATCTCTGGCAGTAATAGAAGCCATTCCTCTTTCCATCGTCTAAGTCCATATATTGCTGGTCCATCAACGTTTTCTGAATCTTTCTTGATTGTATCAGTCCAGGTCTTGATTGGTTCTCCTCACTTTGATAGCACTTTGAATTGTCGAAAAAATTTACTATTTCATTGAAAAAACAATATATTTACTACAGTATCACAGCCTTTGTAAAAAATTAAATCGATGATTAAAATAATAAAATGAAATGATAAAGAAATTTTGATCATTTTAAAACTTTTCATTATTTATTTAATTTATTTGACTCGTTAAAAAAGAGCTTAAAAAGCTTAGAATTACTATCAAAGAATTATTTAGTAAGAATGTTAGATTTTATAATAATGGCTCGAAAAATTCTATTTATTATGAATTCAGGTTAATCGAGATAATTATCACTTATCAAAATGTGTTCCATTCAATTTCGATAAAGAATGCTTATTGCCTCAGTATAATAGTGCAAAACATTATCTTTTATATTATAATTATCATATTTTTCTGATTATTTTTTGTCAAATTCTTCGACAAATTTTATTAAATTGTTCATAATTGATTGCAAGTTATTATTTTATTAAATTGTTCATAATTGATTTCTGAATTTCTTTCGAAAATTCGTCGAATATTAATCGCCAATGATAATTATTTTTTTGATAATTCCTAAGGAAAAAAAAAGAAATATCTTGCAATTTATCAATTCTGCGATTGATAAACTCAGCTAATAAATCATATAAGTTTTAAATAGAAATTTGAAATACATTTATTTTACCAAAAAAATTTGTTAAATTTGCTTTCTAATTTTACCTTTACAGACAAAAAAATGCTTTAATATTCTTTATTTTATTTCTTTTTTTACCCGTTTTCTTTTGTATTTATATTTTATTATATTTATTTCTTTTATATTTATTTAGCAATGCAAAAATAATTGGAAATTGGGGATCCTATTTTTTTGAATTTTATTTTCTAAATTTTGAAAATCTTCATTTTTTTTGAAGAGTGTTTATTAGCTTTGGCTAAACTTTTTGACTCGTATTAAATGAATTTCACCAGGGAATCAATTATAGAAATTAATAGAAGTAATAGAAGTAAATATTTGAGTATACTTGAGTAAACTTGATGGCAACTGGATAGTCACCAGCACCACCTGGATTTCTCGAAAGATTTCTCGAAATTTACTCCTATCGGGTGTTGTAGAAGCCTACCATATACGAAATAAGAGCGGCAAATTGCTGAGGTTTTTAAATCCTCCTATAAATCCTCATTGAACAAAATACTTTCAAACTTTTTCGCAAAGTGCTTGTCTTATATGCATTTACTTGCAAAATTAAATATTATTTTTATTATTAGCTATCGACTTTCGCATGAATGCATGCAACTTTTTGAATTTTTGTATAGCGAATGTTTTTGATTTAGTTCTTTAAAGCTTTTTAAATTTATAAATTAAAAATAAAAACACTTTTGAAATGCATTTTATAGTTCCCTAATGAGCAAATCGTTGCGACACATGGAATATTGTCGAGTCTTCAGTGTGCTTTATCTGTAAAAAGTATTTACTTTATGTTTCACAAACTTTATGTTTTACTCGGTTTTTGGCCTCAAAAAGGATCTTTTGGAAATGATTGATTGTAAATATTTTTTCTACATTTCAGTTTAGGCTTGCCTCGTTGAGCTATCGTGCCAGACAAATTTTGTCGAAGAGTCATCTTGCGAGAGAAATGCAGGTGATTCATTAGCACTGCAATTTTTGAAGGGCAGGTTAATTCCTAGCGGAATTGGAGCGTCCCAGCTTCAACGTTATGAAATGAAAACAACATCCAGTAATCCATTCTATCCCAGTTGCTATATTATGCATATTTAAATAAATAATTTATCTTAAAGCTATTCGATTTTTTTTCCGTTTTTTATCGTGGGAAATGAATAATTTTCTAATAAATATTCAGCTAAACTTTTTCCAAAATGTTTTTCTTATTCATTTATAATGAACAACAGATTTCTATTAATCATGCATTGAGAAAGCAAAATTTTCCATTGGTTGGTGAAAAAATTTCAGCCAAATAGTTATTCACGGGAAAAATTAAAATAAATGAATAGCGTTCATTTCTTGTTGGACCATTTCTAGTTGGCCTGCTAATACTTTTGACAAGGAATTTTTCATTTGGCGAAAGTACAAGTGGGCTATAGCAGCCGGATTTCTTAAAGACTGATTTACTCGTGTTGGAGGCAAATTTTCTAACTTGGCGCGGCAATCGGAACCACTCGGCTATCTCGTCTTCCGTGTTAGCCAAGAAATTATATTGCTGCAAACCATCTTTATTAGTTATTTTACGAAACTATTTCCTATGTTAATAATCGAGAACCAATGATTTCAATTAGTATTTCATGTACTATTTCAGTTGTGAAGAGATTCGCTGGCAAAATTTTTTGATCCAACAAATTTTTACCAGCGGTGCGAGTTAAACCAAAAATGGTAAATGCTCTAAGGGAAAGAAAATCCGCGTGGTATTATGATCTTTTTTCATATCATCCATATTGCAAACCTTTCAACCATTTACTTAAATATTATAAGCTTTTATCGAAAAACTTGAATATTAGAAAAAAGGCATAAGGCTTTGTTTTCTCAACAAAGCCAATATTTCGACCAATTTCAAATGTTATAAATTCTTGCCACTTGGCGAGAGTAAATGGGTAATCTACCATTAAAAATGAATAAAGCCGATTGAGCGCTTGGCTCATTATTCTTGTGAATTTGAAATATTTTTAGAAAATCTTTTAGGAGAAAATCATTGCCAACATAATGTTTGTGCTGTAAATTGCCTTCAAACATCAGTGATGAAAATGCGGTGAAAACCATAAAATATAATATTCAGCAGAAGGATGAAAGCTTTATTTCTTCTTTCACCAATTTCCCCTTTCCTCTTTCATCGTTTATGATTCCCCTTTATTTTACATAATTTTTATTTTCTGTTGTCGATTCAATGTCGATTCACAATACGCAAGTCAGTTAATAGTTTAAGCAATAAATCTTTTTTTTCTCCAAAAGAATTTGAAATTCTCTTTTCTCACTTTTTAAGATTTTCGGTAAATTTCACTCGACAAAAAGGCGTTAATTTATGATTTTGTGCGCAAAATTAAAACTATTTAGAATTAGAACAACAAGAAATTACTATTCAATATTGCAAAATTCAAAATACTATTTGATATAAAGAGATGGATTAGTTTTTGAGATAAAACTAGTGATATGAATGAGATATAGATAACAAGAAAGGCGGCATCATTTCATCTTATGAATTATTTATTGAAAAATTAAAAATTTTCTATTCCCAAGCACTTTGAAGTGGAATTTTATTGAAGATGAAAATTAATTTTGAAATGAAAAACAAAAATTTTTGAAATATCGACACTGTCGGACGAAACACACAACGTTTATCACCATCACTATCAGCACCACTAACGGTAGCAATATATCAGTTGCCGCATCAGCAGCATTACCATCGCTTTGTTTATTTAATTAAGTACAAGAATTTGTCCAAAGGCTAAAAGAAAATTAAAATTTTAAAAAAAGGTCCAAAACGAAACGCATTTCTCAAAAGTTTACGAAGATCGAAAGCCAATGGAAGAAATTTTATCACTAATCCAGAAATTAAATAGCAACACGATGGACTATTCTCTATAATATTTGGTATTAATGCTTTCCTTGCCAAAAATTATAAAATTAGACCTGAAAAGACAATTTTTCAGTTATAGGTACCATATTCCACTGTAAAGTTCTCTATTCAAATTTAAAATGTATAAAATATATACTCCTTTTCTCCGCCAATACCACTTTTCCAGAAGAGATCCTTGAAAACCGCTCAGTGCATTCTCATTCTTCTAGATTTCTGGAAAGGAACCGAGATTAAGGAAGACTCATGTTGTGCTAATGAGGGGATTTATACAGATTTAACTTATCTATGGTGACAATCAATAAAGATGAAAAAGAAAAGTTAAACTCAAATAAAAAGTGATTTAAAAGTGATTTACGGAATTCTTTAGACGAAAATAACATTAAAAGTCAACTAAGCACTTAACTTTACTTATTTATTACTCCATAAACTACAAAAGAAGAGTTTTTGCGAACAGAAAACGGACAAAGCCACGTTTAATGTAGGCAATATATCAAATTGTAAAATCAAATAAAAAGGATTTGTGGGAATTTCAAATAGCCTAAAGGGAAACTAACTCAAAAGAAGACAGTTGGTAAAGATTTATAAGATATATATAGATAGTAGGCATATGGGATGAGCAATAAATTAGCATCCATAACGTTTTTATAATATTCGAAGTTCGCAATTTATTGGACTTCACATATCCTCAATTTGTACGCAAAAATTATGTGATTTTTCTAGCTCGAAAAGCCCGAACCAGCTAACTCTTTGCTGAGTACAAGGATGATGCGATTCTAAGATTTTATATTGCGACAAAGTTATCATTAATAAGTCATCATTAATCACCTTGATAAATGTTACTGACCAATTGTTAATGATTTTTTCAGTACTTCTGATGGCAGCTACAAAGCAAAACAAAAATACTTAGTGGTTAAATGTGGCCAAGTGATGCAATTCGTAGATTTTTATAAATATCTCGTTCAGTCTTCACTCTTTTAACCAAAATAAACCTTCAATAGAAGTAAAGTCCGGGTGGTAATGGAATACATAAATTTCTATTCCCAAGTGGCAACGTGGTAAAAACATTTCACTCAGAAATAGTACTGAAAATTCTTTCATTAATTTTCATTCTTATCATGAATTTGGAGCTTTAAAGATTTACAATAAAACGATGATTTAAAACGATGATTGATAAAATACATATCTTTAGGAAAATCTTTATTGATAAAACGATTACAATATCAATGAACTGGTAGAATAAATGGATGAGAAACGAAGTGTAGGAGCAAAAACCAAAAAAATGTGTAGCTAATAAATAAATAACTTGACGATGGGCCGATAATTATTCAACCAGATTAATTAATTTTAATACAACTAAAATTGTAATAATACAGAACCCGTGAATGAAAATTTGCCATATTTGGCAGTCATGCATGCACGCTGTGACATTTCAACGATATTTACTGCAAATAAAGTGAAAAACCTTTCTAAACGGAATAAAAATAAATGGAAAATCGACAAAATGATAGGTGATAAATTTAAAAAAAGTTGGCCATTATTCCATATATAAATTCAAAAATTCAAATTCAAATAATAAAAATTAATAATAAAAATTCAAATTCAATAACAATCTTTTATTGCTATCTTATAAAGCAATATAAATGCTGGAATGGAATGGCTCGCTGTGTTGTTGTTCCACTCCCATTTCGTGCGGTGACGCTGGGAGTTTATTTCTGCAGAAGAAACCCGCTCTTGCAAAGAAACTGGGTAATGCTCAAATTTGTAGTCCTCTCACCAAGTGATTCCTCGGCAAAATTGAAAATTGAAAAGGAGTACCGCTCAATAAAGTGAAGGGAAGTAATAATAAATAATTCATGAACAGTTCAGCTTTAAACAAACTTTTAATTCGAAAAGTATTATTTCATATATACATTTTAACTTTATATTTACAAAACGAATATTGTCAAATTTAGAAAAAGTGCAATTCAGTTTGATGTTAAAGATATCAAAGTAAATGACTTAAGAAGTTTTGGATCTGTGCGACCATTTTCTATGAGAATGAGGTAGACATAAAGGCAGATCCAAAGCATCAGAAATCTCCTGTCAAGGGACAAGAAAAATCGGATTCAGATACAATTGAAAAAAATGTGATCATGGAAATTTCACTGTGAAATTCTCGCGTTAACGGACCTTTCAATGTTAGAAATTAACTAAACAATCTTAGATTGTTTCCAAGCTAATTGAGAACTTGCAACATGATTTGATCGAGCTGTTGAAATAGTCATAGGCATGTATTGGTGAGGTGGGGGTGGAGGATTGGCTGACGGTATTAAAGGTCGATTCAAAGAGAAAGGCCCAGATGAACCAGCAACAGATTCACAGCCAACAGCGCTCTGTTTTGCTGGAGCAGTCGAACATAAACCACAGCATAAAACACGTTGCCATGTATAAAATGTCTTTGGAGAAATAATCCACATCCCCGTCGCGATACCCACAGCCAGTGACATAAAGATATTTATAATATATAGTTCTATCTGAAATCGAAATCTAATGGAAAAAAAGAATGAATGAAATAGATAATCCGAATTTCGATCTTATTTTTTAAAATTTGCACATATTTAGAACAAATTAGGTGCATTGTGCAACAAATGAATGTTAAATATAAGATTTGGATCTGAATACTAAAGAAAACCAAGTCACCTGAGGTGGTTCAGGCCTATTACAAAATCCTCTTTCGGCACCGCCGAATTGCTTGCAAGCAATTGTATTAGGATGCCACTTAAGAAGAACAAACATATGATAACTGTCGCAAATTATCATCGTTATTGCTGGAATTATATAAAGCGCACTAAATATGCCCATTTTAACCATAAGTTTCTCTAATTTGGATGTGTCGGTCCCCTGAAAAATAAAATTAATGCCAATATTGAAGCGTAATATAGAAAAACCGAAAAGGAAGCATTTTAAATTGAATTAAATTGAATATAGCGTTTGTTCCAGCGAAACATTAGCACATATAAGGCGAATTAAAAATGTTACCATAGGGGCAGAAGAGGAAAAATAGCAAAATAATAAATAGACAACTAACAATTATGAAAAACAATCAATAAAAATTAATAAAAATTAATTTTTGTTAGTGATAAAGTAGAGTGATATATAATGGTAGATTAAGGTGTTTTGTCATCATAGCTTTTTTTAAATAAATTAAAATTAGTGATATGATTGAAATTATACTCGTCTTCTAAAAGAATCCCTTTCCCGACACATACTCGAGAAGCCAGCAATAATTAAGCAACTACCAACAACTACAAAAATAAACTTTGGTACAATAACGAAACCAAGTAAAGCCCATGGATCAGCATTGCCTACCGAACAAATTCCTGTTAATTCTGATGCATCAACCTGAAATTAATCCCATCGCTGAAATAACTAAAAAATTTCCGTTTTGATCTTGCAAAATCTTAAGAAAATCAGTAAAATTTCTAAATATCTGCATGAAAAACAAACTTTATGGGCAGTTAATACAGCAATAGTAAGTAATGCAGGTAATGCCCACGCAACCAAATGCAAATAGCTGCTCCAAGCTTCAATACCTTCAGGCACCCATTTTCTTGCAGCCGACAGGTACCTTTAACTTTGAATTATGCAGAATTTTTGGATATTAAAATAATAAGTCTATTTACTTTACAATAATAACAAAAAATATTCTTTTTAACATCAAATTTTTGTCAAAAAGCCAAAAAATGTATCGGAAAATAAAGGAGAATATTTTTAATACAAACAACAATTAGATTTGAAAATAAAAATTCCTTGAAATATACAAATTTAATTAGCTCGATCGGCCATTTTCGAGGAATAATCCAGTTTAAATTACATTCAAATTTTATCAATTATTTATTCCTCGTTTCCCCAATCTATTCTTTTATTTAATCCTAATGAACAAATATCAACAAAAGAAATGCGAAAATAGGAAAGCAAAGCATATTTGTGATTGGCGATGGTTTAATTAAACTCATATCATTATTTTTTACTAACACCTAAAAAAGAAGAAATCAAGTGGATCTACAGCATTTGACTTTTAATGAGAAAATGCCAAAGGGTGGATTGAATCATTGAATGTTGCCTGTGGCCCGTGGCAAGTTATAGTGAAGCAAAAAAAACGCAAGTAGAACTTTCAAAAAAAATTAGTGGCAATAAAAACAATTGAAAATGTTTGGCAATCGATTTAAACTTTTGTATTTTTGCATATTTCTATTATAAAAAGATTACATAAGAAATTAAATGAAGCAAAATAAAAATTGGTATTAATCAGTAGGAATATTGATAAAATTGTGGAGAAAAAATACTGAAAAAATAGAGGAATAATTGAAATATTATGATAATATTATCAAATTTAGAGACTTTTCATTAGTGGTTGGAAGGACTCACTGAACTCTTGATTTGCTGCTTTCACTTCAAGACATTAATGCTGAAATTCTAATCCGGCAAGAATAAGGCTTTTTTCAAAAATCCGGACAATCTTGATGACCCACCAGTATTTTTATCATCAGTCAAGTGATTCTCGGGCAAAATTTAATTACCGTTCGGAAGAATAACGCATTGTAAAGATTTCATACAATAAACTCTTCCTAAATTTCTAGTCAAAAAGGAAAAAAAACTTGATCGAAGTAGAAAATTAATTGAAAAAATAATTTACCAAGTAAAGGTAAGCATAAGCCACCAAAGACTGCATGCCATCGAAAAGTAATACGTCAATATGGAAGATATAACACAGCGTGTATTATCCAACGTTCCAACGATCAGAAATAATTGACCTGTAGGGATACGATCGCAAGCAATTCTCTCATAGGTGAAAAAGCCCCGACTTAGTGTAGGCAACGAGTAAAGCATATAGCATGCAGATAAATAGAAAATTGACCTGAAACATTAACTATAGAAAGAGAAGAGAAAAAAACTGCGAAGCCACAATACTCGCTCGCCTCTCCTAAAAAATTCTATGTCGAGAAGATAGGAAAGTACTGGAAGTTTTGTTAGAGATATGAAATCGGGACAAATCCGATCAAAGCCACCGACATGTCCGCTTTACCAGTATTAATTTAAAGTTCTCGATCGCTCTTTAGCAAATAGTAAAGGATAAAACTTGGATTCTTCGCCTATAGCAGTTAGGTTGCCTGTGCTTCGGCCCTTCTGCAATAATCGATAAGCATAAAATTTTTTTGGCTTTTTTCGTGAAATTATCCTAAGCTAATAGCATTAGATGATAGATCTGCTTGCAATAATCCCCTTGTGGTTTACAAACTCGAAATTTCTGCACAAATTCATGGATACTAAAAGGAGTTATCGATTCGGAACGATCATTATTTTAAGAGAGAAATAAAAGTTCTAAAATTATATTTAATTAATAATTAATTAACGAAAAAAAATCGCGGAAAACTAGAAAAACTAGATAAGCTCAAGCCTTAATCAGATAAAAAAAATGGCTGAAAGCACAAGGCTTAAAATAATCAAAACAGGGTCCGACTAAAAAAAATAATGGTCCAACCTTTCGGGAAATCGAAACCGTTGCCGATCGATGAGAAATGTAAGAACCGTGAATGCCGTAACTCCAAGATTTACTGAAGCCCATAAAAGCATCCAGAATTTGGTGAATTCTCTGCGATTTCGTTCGAACATCCCATCACGATTACACTGAAAAGCACAATGGGCGCTACGGTCTGTCGGGTCTAAATTGATCATATCCGATGGACACGTTGGTACTGCTTTTAAATATATTCGACTCTCAATATTTTTTATTGGTTCTTGTCGATCATCAATTTGCCTGCAAATTGAAATTTAAGTAGGAATAACAGAAAAATTGGGCGGAAAAAAGTGAAAAAATTATTAGTTGTAAAAATCAGTGAAAATTGACGATTTTTCAAAATTATAAAACTAAAAAATATATTTATTTAATTTGATTATTGCTTAAATTTCAGGCGGTCACTGAATAATAAAATGAATGCAATAAATAGTTTTGAAGAGAGAAATAAAAATTATTCGCACCATAAACTTCTAAAAACATTAAAAAAGGCCGAAATTTTGATACAATTCATTCATTCTCATTAAGATAATTAATGGTGGAACATGGAAGAATGAAAGGACAAGCAAGAAGGAAATGGAGGAAGATTGAGAGGAATGAGGAATGTCTGTATTATTTATTAATTTTAAATTTAACAATAATTATAGGATTTTTTATTTATTTGAATAAAAATAAAATAAAATGTAACAAAAAGAAAAGAAATTTTTTTAAAATTTAAGGTAATTCAATGAAAATTTTTCAAAAATTGAACTCTGAAGAATTCAAATAGTTGATTGGATTTCGCTTTTTAGAAGTGTACGATCTAATTCTTGTATAATTTGTTTTATTTCTTTTTCTTTAAGAAGAAAAATGTAATGAAAAATATATTACAAAATAATTCAATATAAATATCGCATACTCAGTTGCTCCCAAATAATTATTATGATCGTTAGTTGGTTTCATACAAAGATGCGGTGCTTCTGGAAAACGGCTACAATTTAGCAGCTCTGGCCATTCAATTCCGAATTCTTCTAATATTGATACACAATCCCTTTTAACCTGAAATTAACGCTTTACCGATTTCCGTGAATTTCTTCTAAATTTAATATTCTCTTGAAACTGGTATATAACTTTTAAAGGTCGACCAATGTAATGATTTATTGAAAAGGTCAAAAATGCCTTCGTTTGTGAATGAATTCTTTAAGAAATATGAATATCTCTAATTTGCATTTGTAGTTATCGAATTAAATGTTAATTTAACACCAAAGTATACAAAAAAAACATTGAATAGAAATAAATATTAATAATAACAATAATGAATGATAAGGATGACAATAAAAGTGACAATAATATCAGTGATAAGAAATAATAAATAATAATAAATAATGATAATGGATTCTAAGAAAAATAATCAGCTATTTTATATTATTATGCAAATTAGATATTTAAGCAATAAAAGATAGAAATTCGGAAACGGTCATTTATGCTTTCTTAACGAATGGTTTTTCATTTATCTAATTTCTTTCTTTTTTATTTTCTGAGAATAATCGAACCATTTGGTGAATAAATTTAAATGAATTCTTCCGATTATTTTTTTCCATTTTTTTTTAAAAAGAAATTTGTCTGAGTAATGAATAAAAATTACCTTTCAACTCGATGAGTTAATAAAAAGACTTGAATTAATTAAATTTAATTAATTAGCTAATTAATTATCAGTAATTTTAATGCGAGGAATTCGATGGCTCAACGGGTTAATACTCTCATTTCGAAGCGCCGAGATCCGAGTTCTTTCGGCATTAGCGAACCCGCTTTCCATAAAAATCGAGATGCTGCTGACGACCCATCCTGTATTTCTATCGTCAAGCGAGTTCCTTGTAGGCTTTATCTGATAAGTCAGCGGAGCGATCGTAATCGCGAACGCTTTATTTTTTATATTTTTTTTATGATTAACCTTTTTTTCATTTTTATTATGTGAATGAAAAATTTCCTTTTTTTAAAAATTTTAGCGATAATCGATAATGAGAAATGTAAGTAATATGAATTATATAAAAATCTACAAAACATGCAGAGAATTTATTGAGAAAGGATGAGGGAAAAACGGAGGAATATATTTATGAGGGGGATTATGGGAGAGGGAAAAGGGAAGAGGGTGCTATGAAACGATAGGTTCGATGAGCCGATGATTGTAAAATAAGCAATAAAATGTTATTGATTCGTAAAGCAGTTATTGTTCAGCCACTACCAGCACTAACACTACGAATTTCAACAAAAATGCATAAATCAAAACTCGTTGAGAATGGGCATTTATCGAAATTATTAATCGCAAAAGCAATGTACAATAGTTTTCTATCATTATCAATAATTATTATTATCAAGGACTAAAATTTTTGCAATTTTCATGGCTTATCATTCGTTGACATTATTATGAGATCTGGAAATTCCTAGAAAAGCCTAGAAAAAGAATCTGCTCACCCTAAGTAGCCAATAAAGGCAACCTAAAAATGAAACGGTAGTATTGTTTGTCAAAATCGCAGTACCCATAATCAACGTTTTTCCGTTTCTTCTTCCTTCTTGTTATTCTTTGTCATATTTTATTCTACAATAATCATAATTTATTTATTCCCTCAATTAATTTGAAGAAAGGAAATTAATCGAGGGAAAAAATAAATATAATTCGATGTAATTACGGTATTTAGTTTGGTTTTATAATGATTGGTTTTATATCCGTTTTATAAGATTTATGAACAATCAAAAATCTATTTTAGTCTGATGAATGTGAGAATATCTAAATCAGTTTGAATGTATGCTTCGAGTATTAGGGACTTCTAAACTAGAAGTGCCTTCAACAGGTACCAGGAGCAATAACACCGATCTCTGTTCAGAATAGCGCACTATTAGGAACAGCTAAGACACTGCACAGAACTCTTGCAAGCCTCTGGTAGAGAATCTGAGATCGAGGACTTTTACCATCCACAGAGCATGAGAAAGGCATCTTACTTTTATTTTAGAGTTGCTAAATAAGAACTGATGGTCACTGGATTCGACTTATAATGAATTGAATTTGAAAACAAAAGAAAGATATTGGAAATATTATTGGTAAATAATCCACAATATTTAAATTTTGGAATAAAGAAAAAAGGAAAAGAGGTTCACTTCTTCACAAACAGATCGACAACTTGTAACTGCTTGAGGCATATGCTCGGGACACATCGGTGCAAATACGCTACATACGAAGAATTTGATATGCGGATTACATTTTGTCTTAATAAGCGGCTTAAAATGCTCTGTTTGAGTTTGAAGCTGAAAAACTTCACAGCTTTTATTATAAAATTCGAATAAAGAAAAAGAAACATTAGAAGTAAAAAGCTAATTAATATTCTTTTATAAACATTAAAAAAAAGATAAATAAATCGAAAATCGTGGATCAAAATAGAGATTTGAGATTTGAGATGCCAAGAGTGCAACTAAGACTAAGACTGCGACAAACCGAAATCGAGTTTTCAAAGAGAAATTTTATGTCCTTTGGAAAAAATAAAACAAAATTGAAATTGAAATGGACCAAACATAAAAATAAATAAAATTAAAACATACACTTTGCTGATCAGGCTGAAGTAAAGAATTCGGAAAAAATGTATATTTATAAGGAATATCCTTACAAAGTGGTATTTCGATTGGTTCACATCTGCTACGACTTGCCTTCAAATTTTACTTTTTTCAACTTTAATTTATTTAAAAAATTATTTAAATTTAACTGAATTAGAATTCAACTGAAATACAACAAATGCACTCTATTTTTACAAAAAATTTATCTAATAAAATAGGAAATTTTTATAAGAAGCAAGGGATTTCAAAATTTATTTTCGAAAATAAGAAAAGGAATTTTTGTTTACAACAATTTCCATAAAATAAATAATGCCTTTTTTCACTGATAAAAGAGTTCTAATTCATGAAAGGAAATGGAGAGAGGAATTACATTCATTCGTTCATTCATTCATTTCATCCATTCATGCACTCACTTATTCATTCATCCCTTTTTCAATGTTTTTTTCTTTCATTCGGAATGAATCTCAATAAAATAGAAAAAATAGAAATGACCATGAAAATTTTCCATTTGGAAATCAAATGGTGAATTTGGAATGAACAATGGAAATTCGTCGAATAAAAGAGAAGAATTTTTTTTTAAGTGAAAAAATTTCCTATAATTTTGCATGAAAAATACACTTGCAATTCATCACTTTATTAAAAAAAAAGAAAAAACGAAAAGTATTTCTTAAATAATGAAAAGAAATATTGTTTTAACTGAAGAATTTAGCAGATAACACGAATGCAATTCAAATCTTATCACTTATCATTCAATCTTTTAAAAAGTAAATATATTAATGCATGAATGGAATTTTGAGGTGAGAATTAACTGCTCGAACACCTAAATAATTCATTCGCGTTCTCTGATAGAAGACAATGCGATAAAAGGAAAAAAATCGCTGAAAATTTAAATCGAAATTCAAAAAAAAGAAAAATAAAAAATACGAGTGAAGAAAAATGGAAGAAAAATTTTAACAACAAACCTGTTGAAATATTGACGCATTTGATGAATTTTTCAAGAACAGTAATAGTACTGTTAATGATGAATAGAATTTTGACATTTTTGGCCGACGAATATGCTTTTGGCCAAAAAATGCTAAAAAATCACTGAGTAAGCGGGTTAGTGACCTGATTGTTGGCTTTCGGCAATAGTCAAATCAAACACATATATTTATTTATATGGCGGTGAGTGTGGTGTATGTGTCTGTGCCGTAATATGTAAGCAATAAAAGAATGTTGTTAGTTGATGGATGTTAACTGCAAGGGAAGGGAAGAAGGATGCTCCGCCTTTAGTGCTCGCAAACTAAAATGGCCAATATTTTATCCAAACGGCACAAAATTTATTACCAACCCGAAGAAACCCGTAATGCTTCCCTGCCTCCCATCCGCCCGCTCGCTATTCAACAATTCTCCATTATGCCGCCTTTAAACTATTATTTTTCCAATTTCCCCCAATTTTCCATTATTTCTTTAAATTTTTTTCTCTCCCTCTCTTCCTTTATTTTCCTTTTGCTTTATTTTATAAATTTTTTTGATTAATATTTTCCTTTAGTTAACCCTCTATTAAGGAGTTGAATGGCTTTGGATTGTTGCATTTGTTGATATTAAGGCGAATTCTGGCAGAGGTGAGTCTATCTTCCACAAATCCTGGTTCCTCACCTTTACTTCTATCTCCAATGACTCTCTAGTAAAATTTGTTCGGTCCGACGTGCCAGCGAATTGAGTTTAAATGCAAAATGGCGAGAACTCTTAGAAAAAGGGTGTGTGATCACCGTATCCTATTAAATTATCGTTCTTTATTATTTTAAACCATATTAAATATATACATAATAATTTGCTCTGTTCTAGTACATGTGTCCTGAAAAATCTATTTCACTAATCTATTGCATATATATGTATGAAATAAGAAATAAGAAAATAAGAAATACAAAAAAAAGAAATATTTAAGAAATACTTTTTAATAATAAAATAAGAAGTTTTATATAAATTTGAAAATTTCAAAATTTCCTATTATCCATCCCATTATCTGTTATTATTAGTATTTATTAAACTTTTCATTATCACAATTTGAATTATACATAAAATTTCCAAATGAACGAGAAATGCAAACATAGTATATTATGATAGCGAATTATGAATGAATGCTATCCAAAATTGCGTTGTATAAAATTAATTTTTCTCTATAAAATTAATATATAGTGATAATGATGATAATGATGGTGAAAGATTATGATCATTAACTTTGGGTTTATCACGTGGATTATCTTATTCTCAGTTGTTCTTTTCTCTCTTTTTTATTTATTTATTTTTATTTATTACTCATTTATTTATCAAAAAAAGAATCAAGCAGGATCTAAGATGCGCCTTAGTTTAAAAAAACAAGCATAACATAAAAATTAAAAGTAAATGGCGAAAAGTAGCACTTACCTAAATTTCATTCCTAAAATAGATAGATATAGTTGGAGAATAAATGCTTTAAGCTTAGAGTCACTTGGGGATTTAAGATGGGTCTCTAGCAACCAGCCGGATTTTGATATGACAGGTTTACTTTGGTCAAAGACGAGGATAAATTGGAAAAATTAAGAAAAAAATCAAAAAAATAGATTAAATTCAAGAAAAAAATTATCGTTTGAGGAGTCCAAAGATAGAACATGATTGGAGCAAAATTATATAGAAAGCGAGTAATTTATTGTTATAAATTCAGTAGCTAATATTGCGAATGAAAAAGTTAAGTAACTCGATTTTGGTTCACATAGAATCCACATGAACAAAACCAAGTAAAATTTTGTTAATTGAAATCGCACCTCGTTTAACCATTCCGGTTTCTTATACAATGGTAAATTTGTCTCTGTAAGTGGTGGACAAATCAGGATTTATGCGAGACACTTTAGTACCCACTGATAAATTAATCGTCTGATGAAAACTAGGCTAATAACAACCGACTGCTTTATATATGCGTTTTAACGAGGGAATTTCCCGACCTAAATTTGAAAATTTTAAACGTTAAATATGAATATTAATGGATTTTTTGATAAATTTGTGGTTATTTAAAATATTTATTAGCGAAATTCGTCGGATATCGAAGAAGAAGTCGACGATAATAATTTATTTTATTAGTTCTTATTCAATTTATTCTAAATTTTAACCAATTTTAGAAAAATTTGTTGAATAATATATGCAATTATTTTTTGGTCATATTTATTACCACTCTGAAGAGCGAAATAAGATGTGCCAATTATTTCAATCTTTCTTCATCTAAGAGTTTGCATGCATGCATGCGTGCATGGAATATGTTTGATTTATTAGGTTTAGAGACGTTTGCGATTTCATGATATCTCGCAAGAGATTTATAATTTTATGTTTATAAAGAAAGATTTTCTATTTTAAATTTGCGTTCGTCACTAGAAATGCAGGTGCGTGTAGGTTCATTCGCGCAGAAATACCACTCCAACATTGGCGTTCTGAGATGAAAACGACGACGCACTCAGCTACTTATGGGAAACCTGTGGAAAAATTTTATTGAAATTTCAAGAAGGAATAAATTTAAATAATTGATTTAGCAATTTAGCAAAAAAACAAAACTATAAAAATTATTTATTAAAATTATCGATTTGAGTGATAGCAAGTGATTTCTTTCGCTTTCTCAGAATTTTTCTTTTTCTGAAAATTCACCATTGCTATTTGTGCTCACTGCACTGGCTTGTATAGAAGTATAGCCAGTGCAAATTTTTTAAGGATACCTGCATAGAACTTGGGCATAGCACCTCAGCTCCAAGCTGAAAAACAAGCCATTCTAGCACCATGCAGAGAAATTGGTAAATGCATTGTTTAATCATCAAAATGGTTCGATTTCCAGCACCTTGGCAGAAACAAACCTGTCATAAGAAGTTGAATCCTGAGGTTTTCTCTGACGACGATTTACCTTAACCGATGGGGTTGATTTTCTAGTAATAAAATATATTTACACTAAGAAAGAGTCTATTCAAGTTTTTGAAAACTGAAGTCGGATATATGAAATAACCTTGTAGCCCGAAACGATCGGTGAATGGATATATAAATCTATGGATGGATAAATGTGTGGATGGACGGACGTGAATGGATGGATGATATGCAAAAATTATTTGATATTGTCATATCAGATATTCAAAATTTGGCAATTATTAAATCAAATTAGTCTTTTATCACAATGTTTCCTTTAATTATTAATAATCATATTATGTTATTTTAAATGAAGCTCATGGCTAAATACGCTGATCGCTGGTCTTTAAATAAATAAATGATAAACCCAATTTCCAAAAGAAAATTGCTAGCGCTCTTATCATCATCGTAATCACCAATAAAAGTAGCATAAATATCGACTTCGAAGACCTTTGTCCTTTTATCAACAAAGCAACAATTCTGAATTTTTGAATCTTCAAATCTCTTTCTACAAAAATTATACATAATATTAAGATTTCCGCTTTTTAGGCTAACTTATTTTTTTATTTCATCGTTTTCCTAATATTTGCCTGCATTTTGAACTAATTCATGAAGAACTGAGATAAGATTAAAAAATTGATCGAAAATAATAGTGAATAAATTCGAAATCGTAATAATCGAAAGAATTGAATCTTTTTAGGTTCCAAATTTACGTTGTCATCAAAGGTCTTCAAATTTTGTCATCAAATTTTGAATTCAATCATTGAATTCAACCACCCACCTTTCGAGATAAAATGGTTTAGTGAGTTGTTGCTCCCATCTTGGAACGCCGATCCTGGGTTCTATTCACTGCAGAAGTCAACTTCTCTTCCAAAAATTTGGAGATGTCGGCAGATCACAGGTACTTCTGTCACCAAATGGTTCTATGGTAAAATTCTCCTGGTGCAGCGAGTCCAAGCAGAAAAGTTCTTAGAAATAAAATTATACAATCATACAGATTATACAATTCAATTATACAATTCGCGTCGATTTAATCTAAAGTTATTTTTCTACAATCAAAACTTTGAAATTCATAATATAAAAAACGTTTTTTCAAATTTTTCCTTCAAACCAAAATTCTTGCTTTTTGAAGAAATTTTACGACTTCCAGAATAATACATCGAATTTCACTGAACTATAATTACTGAAAGAAAAGGAAGCAATGCAAAAGAATACCATAAAAATGCTGACTGACTCAAAGGTGGCTGCTTTTTAAAGTGCGTAAATAAATAGATAGTGCAATATAAGATGGAAATAATTTAAGATTTCTGCATTAACATGGTCATATGAGATTTTACGCGCAAACAGTTTGGTGATAGGCAGGCTGAAACCTGGAGATAAAAATGGCTTCAGTCAATTTCATGTGGATCGCATCAGCAATCTAATAGTGAATGGAGCCAGCCGAAGCAGAAACGCTAAGCACTACTTGTGAAAAATAAGAGCCTTTGATATTCGGCTTACATAATCGCCAGAGTAAAGGGATTGAACCGATGCAGCATGTTATTTCCGATGCTTTCCTTTAAATGAATATGCCGCGGGCGATTTTCGAAAATTTTCATTTTCTTTTCTACGATATGAAATGCAAATCACAAATAAGAATTTTTATGGACAAATCCTTTTCATCGAAATTTCAAACTTAATTTTTTTCCAACCGACGATTTTTGGTACTTAACTGATTATATGTATTTTAAATATATATATATATATTTGGACCTAATAGATATATCTGTGAACACTTTTGTGCTATTAAATCTTAAATCTTTTCTAATATTGATAAAATATTGATAAAATTTCCTTTTCAACTCACCGCTCAATCATAAATTTATTTATGTTATAAATATTTTACGATATATATTTGTTCATTTCTCGGCGTGTTATTTCCTCTTTATTACTTATCATTTCCACAGTAATAAAAGATATGATAAGAAATAAAAATATATCTACAGCGTTCCGTGGACTTTTAAGATATATTCAGTACTCTTTTTGTTATATTAATGATTTTGATTTTGCTATTGATAAAGTTAATAAGTTATTATGTAAAGTAAACATGTAAACGCGTGAGATTTTGATTGTTGCCTATTGCGGCTTATTAATTTTGAATTGTATGTATCTGTGCTCTCGGGTTATCAATAAGTTTCTCAATTTTAATTGAAATAAACGAATAGTTGTAGACAATCGAGTTCCATGCATATACCATTAAGGTACTTTAATAAATCAGTTTGAAATGAACTTAATACCCTCCAATGTTTGGTTTTAAGAGAGATGGAAGAATGCCATTTTGTGGATACTTGCTCGAATAACATCTAATCTGCGAAAGTTGCTCGTTTAACGATAGGAACTATATAGCAACTATTCTAACGCTGATTAACTAAAAGATAATCAATTGTTCGGTTAATCGAAGAATCTCATAGAATCAGACATGACATATTCGTAGGAAAAAGGCCATGCTCCTTGGTTTTAAGAAAGATGGAAGAATATTTTCCATGAATATTTTTTTCCTTCGCCTTGTCAGTTTGGTAAGGCGTTCTCCATTGATGCGAGAATTTTTGTCTATATTCACCAATTATAGAACCAAATGTGATAGCACCGTGTCTTACGCTATCTCCCTATACTATAATCACGTCACCTTTTGGGAAAAATAGTGCTGCCAGAGCTACAAAATGCACATACCACTGTCACGACTTAAGCATACAGTACAAGAGCACATATAATACACTGTTGGAAAACTTGAAATCTAGGCTATCCGGCCATGTAATCAGAGAGGACCGAGTCCTTTAAGACATAAAAATTTCCCTCCCTTCTCTGATGAAGGCACGGTGGTTGCTCGAACCATAAAATAAAAAAGATCTTCCTGCATATATCTCTATCTTTATCTTTAACAATATCTTTTGTCGCATTACTTTAGCGATAATTGCACAATATTTGGACAAAGTGTAGAATCATCCTCTTCTTGGAGTCATCTTCGGAGTCGTTCTACTGAAATTTCACAATCAATCTTTTATTAGACCTGATTCTCGAGGTCAGAAAAATTCCATCGTTCCACGAAATACAGCCAACAGGTCGCCACTTGTGCAGAGTTGGTTGTTTTTCGTCTTTTTTGACAAAGCTCACCTTATTTTGAGATCGATCCTTAGCCTTCTATTCGCTTCACTTCCAGTTTGCGCTTACGAAGACACTTGTGCCATATGAGAATCAGACCTCAGACCTCTATAAAGTGAATTAGAGGTAGAAATATGACCGAATCACCAGCACCCACTCGGATTCCAAATTTTTGTGGCAAGTTTACCTCTCTCAAAGGATTGAAAAAAAGAAAGAAAAATGATATTAAGCATTAAACCATAACCAATTTTTCCATAAACTTTAAGGCACTGTTGTCCTATGTTAAATACTATAATTTTTCTTGAATTTGAATAGTCGGGGGAATGGTTTGAAAAAAATTAAATAAATATCTAAGCATAAGGTTGAATCATCTCATAATTTTTTACTTCATATATTTTCAAGTGGTTCTTGAATCATCACTATTTAATTTGAAAATATCATGAGACCATCCATGCATGAAATTATTTACCGCAAATTCAACATGATCAGTATAATTCAATTATACTCCTTTCTTATTTCTGACCGTTTATTTCCGTTAAGACTGTATTATTTTAGGGTTACCATACCACTGTCGTTGTTGTTAAGGCTCACCTTGATTTTCTTTTAAAAAAATAAAAAATAATGCATATACTATTTCTGAATAATATATATATATATATATATATATATATTTATAAATATATATACATCTGGCGATAAATACATGTAAGGTATCACCCAAATTTTTGACATCGGTGCAATCCTTCTTGGTTACCATTGTTTCTAATAAATAAACGGTCAGAAAATTTCAAAAGATAACAATGAAAAAAATCCTGTTTATGAACAAATGGATTAGAAAAAGATAAAATCAATGATTAGCGGCAATACAAAAGAAATATGATAACAATAATTACCACCATAACGACAATTATCACTGCCACGATCAATATTTGATGTTTTCTCCAAACAAATCGAAACCAAAATGATCATATCAGATACTAATGACGTCACTATCATCATCATCATCATTATCATCATCATCGTCAACAGCAGAAGTAGGTTCGCAGTAACCGATGCTATCTCCGTCATTTTTGTTGGCAGCATTTAAAATTCGTTCATAAACTATACAACAGTCTGTACCTGAACCATTCTCTTCATCGGCCAATGATTCCTTAATAATTTAAACGACTTCAAAAAATAAAATTTAGCAGATACTTCTAAGCACCTAAGGTCATATAGATTTTAGAAACTGAAATTTCTTTTTGAAAAATAAAATTTTGTTGGAATTTTTAAAGATTTTCGATTCAGATACGTTAGGGTGTAAAATTTCAACCTGATCAGAAGCATTTTCCTTAATAGCTTGTTGAAGGAACAGAATGTCACTGTCTTCACCGTTAATACTTTCTTCATCATCTTCTTCACCATTATCGATTTCATCAGCAGTCGGTGGCATTTTTGTATCATCCTCATCCACAGTTGTGTCTTCTAATTTCAGATCACCACGACTGCATGCTTCATGCAATTTCTGAACATAAAAATTTAATAAATCTGTCAACTTCACATAAAATGGACAAATTAATATATTATCGCATATAAAAGCAGTGAAGGAGAGCCTAAAAACAATAAATGTACAGTAAAAAAAGGTAAGACTGAACTGCTGAAGAAAAATACTCGTGAAGATAGCCATGATATCGGTTTTGGAAAATCATTTCTCATATGTTATCATTTTGCTGTTCAAGAAAATGCTTTTCTGCAGGCGAATGCTGTCGATAGGCAGCATTACGATAATTATTGAAATGTTGGTGATCTTCAAGCAGGTTGCTCAAGCTTTCAGCTATTTTTCTCAATCATTGTCAACATATATTCTTTTATGGAATGATAGAGGATTGTTTTTTATGTGAAAAATGATGCTATGGAATATTTGAAAAGATAGAGAAAATTTTACGATTCTTGCTGCATCCCAAGTTGGAACAGCACTGAACGAAATAGGAGAAATATCCGCTTCCACAGTTTTTGTCGATTCACTTCCTTCAAAAAACAGCGAAGGAAAGTAAAAATTATCTATTATTTAGCCAAAACAAAACAGAAATTTCAAACGTACCAATTAATAACCATTCATCCAAATTGTGTTTAAATTTGTCTTCCATGAATTTCTTTATTTCTTTGTTGACTTCACAAGTTATATTTTCAACAGTTTGATCTCAAATAAAAATTTTAATTTAAAAATCAAAAATTGATGCATATCAAATCAAAGACGTGTCGCCGAATGGCGAAAAAAGTAAATATGATCAAGTCATCTGGATCGAAGAGTACCTAATAACAGTAGAGTACCTCATAAGTGAGAGGTACAATGTAGCTTTTATTATGTGAAGATTAAAAACCATAAATCTTCCAGCCCATCTTAAATTAAATATGAGCTCCCAAAAGATCACTTTTGGTCATTTTATGCTTCCATTAGGGAAACAAGCGAGTGGGGAACGATCGGTGAGCATGGGCATTTATATCTTAATTATATCTATATTTGATTTTATTTACTGTATTATTTCCTTGTAGTAGGAGACAATTGTTTCGCTTTACTTTCTTATATATATTTACGTTTTCAATAAAGGTTCAATTACTCAAGTTTGAGGGTTCGTAACGAGAAAAATAAGAAGAGAACGCTGGCTGCAGAGTTTACAATATTATTAAGAAAAAAATGTTCCGCGTGGTAGGAAAGTATTAAATATATATAGAAAAAACACAGTGGAGCGGATTCCCAACAGGAATTTTTATAAAGGTAGAACTGGAAGAGGAATCGCCATGCTCCCAACGAAAATTTCGTAGTACTAATTCTTTTTTCTGTACAAGACGAGTGAAAAGAAAAAGAAGAATGAAATTAAAAACGAATTATATCGCAAAAAACTAAAGTTAAAATATTGAAAATCTGAAAGTAAAAAACTTGAAATTGGTAAATAACTCACCAAACTGCAAAGGATCAGAGGGAAAAACACTACCAATTTTCTCTTGAACTGCTTGCATATATTTTCTCACATCGTCCATAGTCACATGGCTATATCAAAAAACATAGTGTTTCAGAACGAAAAAAGAAGAGATGACAAATTAGAAGAGCTTTAATCATATAAGGAACTTGAAAAAAACATTATTTCTAGAGGACATAAATCTTTTATAAAATTATTGAAACGAATTAATGACACATTGAAACTAAATATATATAATCACACCTCATAAATTCCGCAACAGATAATATTTTTGAGCTTCATCAATGAGATAATATAAATAGCTAAGGAGATGAGAAGAATTAAATAAGCCAGAACAAAAAAATTTCGAACAAAAAACAAGAATATTTTCCGAAAACCAAAAAAGAATAAGAAAAATTAAATTACAAAAATTCAAAAAAAATATCGGACAAGACTAGTTAGGTAATGATTTTACAATTCATCTCATAAGCCTACAGGTGGATAGTGTCAAAAGCGCGGAGCATTTTCAATGAATCAAGACTTGGATCGACATATTCAGAAAAGATTTTGAACGTACAGGCGGTCCAGCGATATACGGGCTTATGCGACCAAAAAATGACTATGTAAATTTCATGAATAATATTGGAAATTTTGCCTTTTCACCCATAATCTCCAGTAAAACCAGTTGAATCAATAATGTTGTGAGTTATGAGAAAAAGAAAATTACCTGAATGGAATGGAATAACTTTGGCCAAATATTTTTATTTCATCCTCGCGATTAACGTGTTCAGTGAGCAAATCATTTAATTCACTAATATCGGTTAATGTTACGAATAATTTTGGTTTCGCTTCTTCTTTGCTATAATTATACTATGACCATAATTAAAATGACAGATATAACTACCAGAAAAATTACTTTCAAATCTAATTTTTTAACAGACGGGCAAATCAGAATAATTTTGCGCTTGGAAAGTTATTCAAGATTACATTACTTAAATTATTAACGCTATTTTTATATCTGATTATAGAACTGTTAAGTCTGAGCACTGATGAGCACTTCTTGACATCTAATTTGACTAAAACCAAGAGTTTTGAATTTTTTAAAATAAAAACTATTCATTGCATCACGTACTCTCTCTTAAAAAATCTGAAACTGCTATCTTAATTTAATTCGCTATGGTGATGTGTCTGATGCCTTTCGGTAAAAATAACCAAGAAAAACAAGTAAATTTTTCCATTTTCCCTTAATATCTCGTCAACCTTCGTTTGCCATAAGCTATTAGTAAGCTATTACATTTACTCAAAGCCCAATATATTTTCCTTAAGAACCTCCGCTTAAGATAAAACAACTAGCAAATGACTGAAAAAATAAAAAAAATACAAAAATAAAAACAAAAACAAAATAAAAACAAACATAATATTCAAGTCATCATCAACAATAATCTCATGTTTCACTAAATAACGATAAATAGCCAATTGTCTTCTCGTTAACTTTTGTAATCGTCTCGCTTGCCTTTCTTCTTCTTCTTCATTATAATTTTCACCAAATTCAATCTCTCTGGATTCGAGTTCCAAGATTAAATGTCTAATCTTCTATAAAAAGTTTTTTTTATCAATTCAATAATTTGAATTCAAAAATAATATTAAAAATTAAATATATAGGTATCACCAAATAGATATCAAGTAAATAATCAATTATTAATTACTTATGTAAAAACTAAATGGTGGACGAAAAATCATTGTTTTCCCCATTAAAATTGCTAAAAGAATACGAGGAAATCCAATTTAATAAATGAATAAATACCTTGTAAATTTGGATGAGACATACAATTTTAGCATTTCTTCTTTTGAGTTTCTTCATTCGCAATTCAGAATTTCGATTTATTGCAGCACATTGCAAATTAGTAGATGAACAACTCTGTTCAGAATTCATTTTTTCCACGTTTCTATAATTATCATTAGCCTACGTACACTTTTTAATTAAATATGGGCTTCATCCAGCCTCAAATTGCTTCACTCAATATCAATTTGTAGTCACATCAAAGAAAATGGTTAGCGCTCTCATTGATGGCTAGGCTAGTTCTGTTAGCTAGTAGTACGATTAGAGACTACGATTAGAGACCTTTGCCTTTCAACACAACAATCGGTATATGAAATCGTTATGAAATTTTGTGGAACCAAAAAAATTCAAAAGCAATGTGGATCTAAAATTAATTGAATGTACAAATATGAAATATATAGAATAATATGAAGTAATGAAATGAGTGCTGATGAATCCTCGATACTGCTTTTTTTCCTAAGAACGCTCACCACTTCTGGTTCCACTGGCTTGTCGGACCAGGTAAATTTTGTGATAGTTATTCTGTTGCCGAATGGCGAAGGAACCCACAACTTAGATCATCCGAAACGCATATGCGATATATCTTTTTCTTCCCGGTTAGAACATTAAGAAGTTGAGAAGAATGAAAGTTACAAATCATTAGCAAAATAATGCAAGCAGAAATCTAAATCAACTAATTAAAGATAATGCATTATGCATTATACATATCTTAAGAAAGTGAAAGGTAAAGAATGGATAAAAACAATTTTCTTTGTTCGTCCCAAACTCTACATAAATTTCTGAGCTTCGTCACTTGAGAATCGAGATGGGAAGAGGGAAGAGGGGGGAGGGGGAGGAGATGATGGAAAGAGAAAGAAGAAGGAATGGGCGATGCAATTCGGGAATATTTGGAAGATACATTATTTCATTCACGCGTTGTCGTTCATATATGCACTACGCACCAGTCTTGTTCGAGTGTGCTTGCCACACCACCTTATCGTACCAATCTGCGCGTAGCTACTTTGTACATAACCATTATTTGTATATTATTAAATAAAGGTTTAATTACTCAAGTTTGAGGCCTCTATTTCGATAAACTCGCAGTGGAAAACTCAAAGAATTAACGTTTGATAGATAAAAAAATGAAAATCAGTCAATTAATCTATATACATTTTGGCAGAGAAAATGAAACCTAAATATGAAGAGGACGAATTTCCAAAAGTGAAGAATTTTATCTATTTGGAAATTTGCGAGCTCCCTTTCTTGCGCACTTGGCGATCAGAAATCAGTCGCCCCCCCCCCCCCCCCCCCCGAAATATTATTTTTAAATGAAATAATGATTTTACCATCGAATAAAGGACGATCCTTTATTAATAACTTTTTGGAGATTTGTTTTTTAATTCAATTCAAATTTAATTTTCAAATTTTTCAACAAATAATAACAATATTTAATAAAATATTTAATAATTTTTATATTTTAAACTAACCTTCAGATTTTTAGCTATTCAGTGGGAGAGTCATGCAAGTTTTAAAAATTCAAACGGACTTCACGAAACTTTGAGAATTTAAATAAACCCCCTTGGCCCTACTCCACAATTAATGCGCTAATACAACAGAAGAAACAGTGCAAAAAATTTTTGAAAACCAATCGTTTTGAGACCACCAGTCGTGAATATTGCAGCACAAAATTTATAATGGAGCAACATACTTCCTAAATTTAATGAGAAACAAAAAAAGAAAGAAGAAAAATATCAAAAAACAGACCAATATCAGCAGAAAGGGAAGAGAGGGAAGTGGGAAAAGGATCTTAAATTGCGCGATATTTGCCATTGTTCCAGCGCAGTGACTAGACTATAAGCCTTTGGATCTCGGCTGGAAAATAATGTTATTAAGGCAGTTTGGCTGATTATCTGACAAATCAGCTACTGTCCCTTAATCCAGCGCCTAAAAACCGATTCCGTTGGTACTCATTCCGAGTTCCTAAATGCATAAAATAGCCCAGCTGAAGCGATAAAAATTTTGTGTGTCGTTATTCGTTCTTGTTCGATATTCGCTAATATCACAGAGCATCTGACGATGTATCTGACGATCGCTCCGCATTAATGTGCCAATTCGCAATTTGTTAAATAGCGATTCATAGGATTTAAGAGGCCTAAAATTCTTTGGTGCTAATTAGCGTATTTAGAATTAATACGAAAAGAAGGTAAAAGAATGGCGAAAAAGTAAGAAAGTCGCCTCCAATTTCGATAAGACTCACACCACTGGTTGTGAATTTCTAAAAATTAGAACGATAACAAATTTAGCGAGGAAATCACGTGGATTTTTTTGATGGAAACTTTCTTCTGCCCAAATTTCCGTAGTAGCGGAAGAGTCCATCGGATATTATATTACAATAAATGAACTGACCCTTCTTTAAATACCACATATGCCACTGACCGATAGTAACTCAAAGCCTTTCACGTACTGCTTGTCAGCCAGATCATCGCCAGTTCATTGTGAACATTTGCGAGTGCCTCGCTTTCGGCCGCTTTTTAGTCTAAAGAGAAACCGATTTGTTGAGAATTGGAATTAGAATTAGGCTGTGTTTTAGCTTTCGTTGTGGTGCTTTCGTTTGGTTCGCCGTTTTTGCTTATCAGTGATGAATTTAATTAATTGGCGTTTCAGGTAGTTAAATAGGGAATATGGCTTCATATCGGCAAGATATGCCGCCAGTCGGTGGATATCCGAAATTCAATTGGGACCGAACGTTTCCCAAGCTTCTCTGGAAGCGTAGGTTTTCTTTGTTTCTCTCTGGAATTGTAATTATTTTTTTATTAATTTTTGTGAGAATACTTTCTTGTGCTTCGAGAAATTTTTGAATGGTACTAGCAGAGTTCTGCTTTGAACTGAAAGGCACTTTTCCAGTCGTCGATTTTGTTCGGCTATTTTAGGCGATATTAAATATTTAACGCATATGCACACTGCAGTCATTTAATGCAAAAGTTGAATTATGTGTTGCTTGTTTGGAGGAAATTAGAGAAATTATTCCGTTCGTGGTCTTTCGTGGTTTTATAGCTCTGACATGTAGCAAGGGAAACTATCTGACTGATTATGGAGATCTCTCGAAATGCTCAAAGTTCTAATATTGGCCGCCATTCGTTGAACGTCAGGTTAATTTAAAGGTTCAGCGATTTAAATTCTGTGCGAATCCTAATTGTCGCTAGAAAGAAAAATGATAGAGAAAATAAGGTGAAGCGATTGTCCGAGAAAATCTAATAGATTTTAGTTCAAATTTTGCGGCATATAAATTTTTTATTTTTTAATTTATTTTTAAATCATTTTATATATTTTGCACTTAAATTATTAAATTATCGGGATTGGATCGGATTTCTGATTTCATGAATTCTTTGAAAAAACCCGTTTCTAAAAACCTATAATTAATTATTCGAAAATTACTCCAATTACTTTTGTATCGCCTCCAATTACTCTAATTTTATTTTTTTTGTTTACATTTTATTAGATTTTCATATTTACTATTTGTGAAAATCTTCAGTGCAAAAATACGTGATTAATTATTTGTTGGAATCTTTTGTTTCTCAAAAGAATTGTTTTTTTGTTTTGTTTTATTTTAAATATTTTGATTATTTATATTTTCTTATCTTAATTATTTATTTTATAATATTGTTTTTCTTATATTTTCTGTTTAGCGTCATACGTTATTGGTGCATTGCTCTTTTCATTAACCTATGGTTTATTTCAATGCGTTGCTCAGAAGAAGCGAAAAGTGTTGGTTTCTTCTTTAATTAATTCGTTAATTGAAGGAAAAACGAATTTTTTTTATAAACTGATTCGATAATAGTAAAGTCAATACGCGGCAGTACCAATGAATTAAAAATGAATTTTCACTGAAATCAGATTAGGCATATTTTTAAAAACTGATGATACATATTTTTAAAATTTATTTCTTTTATGTTTTTGTATTTACTTAACTATTTCGAATATCGTGGACCCAAAGACATATTTCATATGGCTTCATATCGAAAATGTTCACTGTATTAATTAATGGGGCGAGCAGAAATTGTTAGCACTATTCCTCTTCTTCTAACAGTTCTCACCGCTACTAGTTAGCTTCGTTTCTAAGCTGCTGGATCCGATACCAAGTAATAGAAGCCATTCGTTTTTCCACCAAGTTCCTCTATAAGTTCAAAATTTTTTTTCTAGCTGTACTTCATTCCGGTTCTTGATGCGTCCTCCTCACCATGAGCATCCATCATAGGACTTAGCAAGTAAAAAAATCATTTCTTGTAGTGGTGAAGAACGTGTCGTAAACAGCAAGCGGTATCTGAATGAAGGTGAATGCAATCATGTGAAAATCAGCTCGGCCAATCCGTAAAATATATTCTAGATACGAGTGATCAAAGGAAGACAATTTTTTAATTTCCTCCATTCTCATCGACCATCGCAGTCATATAGCGAGAATTGCAGTTATATAGACGCGAACTTTCGTATTTATAGTGATTTCGCGGCAGTTCCATGAAGATTTCGTCAACCAGAAAAATTTCTAGCTATATTTCTAGCTATCTTTATCCAGGTTGCTTCATCCTTTGCATGTCCATTTGGGATTAGAGTGGATCCAAGGTATTTAAAATTGGGCATTTCCTCAATCGGCAATGAATAAGTATTTTATCAGTTTTTTGTACAAGACAAAAAGATGAAAGTTTCATTTGACATTGAGTCCAATTCTCACTGCAGTTATCAATATATTGTTTAGCATTATTTGCATTTTCTCGTAATTGTCAACAAAAAAGATTGCACTATCTATATTCAATGTTTATTATCCATTCTATCGCATAGTTAAATATTATATATTGTAGGGGAAGAGATGAGGCCTTGAGCGATCCTTATTTCGAAGGAATCTCTCAGTTCCTCATTAGACATAGACATATGATGATGTACTAAAATGTCTTCATGAGTCGGGTGAGTCGAATGATCTTTGAATACCGTCGCATTCCATCACCTTCAAAAGCGCCATTCTTCCAACTGAATTTGCAAAAAAAGGCAGGTGCAAAGTCGATGAAACACTTAACGATGTGTTGCAGATATTTTAAGCGGTATTCCAACAGCTTTCTTAACGAGAATATCTGCAGTTTCTTCCATACCAGTGAATAAAATTGTTGAAGAAATGTTATGAAGAATGGTGGAGAACATTTGAACAGTTCAGATCGAAGAATCTTCTTTGTCTGCAATTGCAGATATATGGCTCGACGAACGAATCAGCCATATTGGGGGCAATAAACAGTGGTTGGCCTTAAAGAATTTGCTTTATAAAGAGGTGGAATAACTTCTTTTATCACCTAATCGAGCCGCTGTTTCCATTTTCAAAGCCATCTTGTTCTAGTAGCGGTGCTGCTGATGTTGTAATTCTTCGAAATCAGGGTTTCCTGACATTCGTGGCTGCCAACCTTTTGAGTTGGATACTTCCTTCTTATGCCAAACTAGTGCATTTCCTTTTAGTATGTCTTAGTATGCAGGTGGCAGACTTTTAAAAGTAAAGTAATAAAAAGTTCATCGGCAAAGCGAAGAAAGATTGGAGCATCGGACCCCAACGCCATATTTGCTATCACCGAGTTCATCGTGGTGGTATCATGACCTACGCACGCATTCCTAGTCTCCTCCGATTATGACCATGCCCCCTTTTGGTAGAAACATTGTTCGCAGTTGGTAATAGAATTCATCCATGTCATAGTTCTCTTGCCCACAGTTTGGACATAACATATATACACTGATGACCGAAATATTGCAGAATTTTCCTATAAAACCACACGCTCATTTACTGGCTTCCACCCAGAGAGGACTGAGCTTTTACGGATATGACAATAATCGTCATTTTGCCCCGAATTATCCACAATGAAAAAGCAATACTTCTGTTCAAAGCCAGGTTTAGTAAAGATCTGAATGAGGAAGACAAACCGTAAACAGGCAGACAATATCCACACGGTAAAAAAAGTGTGGACACTGGTCGCTTGGCCTGTAACATTTGACATTTCAAGCAGCTATGGACAACTACCATCTCGCTATGTGCAAAACTACAGCGGACAGTTTCTCGTTTCCCATGACAGGTGAGCAATATTCTCAAACCTTGGAGTCGTTTTACGGCCGGATTGTATATTCATAGCATATAACACCAGGCTGGGAGTACCATAAGCACCATGTCAAAAAGCCCTGACAGGCAGGCGGATTTCTCAGCAGCGGATTTTTGATGACAGATTTATTACCGTCAAAAGTAAAGATGAAGAATTAAGGAAAAAATTAAAGAAAGGTGGAAAATAAAATAGAAAATGAAAGAAAATAAGTTTGAAAAAAAAGCTTATTGCAGGACTACCTGAAGCCTTTAGAAGTTTCGCAAGAAAAATATAGAAATAAGAATAATAACAAGCATCGATTGATATGGGCAAAATGGCACGACCGCTTACAAACAATAAGTCAATCAGTTTCAGAAGAATCGAATCTCTCTCTCTATCTCTATTTAGAAGAATCGAATCTATCTGCCTTTGACCGTTCATGTTTAAGATACATTTTACGAGTTCAGCGAGCAGAATCTTACTTGACTGGATCCATCTTTGCTCAAATACCACTTAGCAATACCATCACAAAACTCGTTTTCGTTGGTTGGACCACATTCTTCGTTGCTCACCATAGGATAACACCTATTTCGTTACTTGTTAAACCCTGTGACAAATGGCGTCAAAAGAAGATAGGTCAATCAGGAAAGTTTTTGAATGTATTAGTGGTGAATATATGGAATTAAATGGAAAAAAGAATGGCCATTTTTAATCTCATTATATTAGATAACAAGTTAACTAGTTTATTCCTATCGAAGGACCCATGCTGTTAGGCCAAATGAAACATACGAATACAAAGATTATGCATTTTCTAGAATATTTTCAAATTACTGAGGAAATTATATTCTTTTCTTTTTAGAACCGAAAAATTCGAGGATGTTGATATCTATGCAGCTATGCAGCCATTTCTCGTCGCAGAAAGAGACCGATAGTAAGTTTTTTTCGACAATAAAATATTGAATTAGCACATTTATGAACGTGAGATTCATGAGAATTTTGTGAGATTTTCTCTGTTAGAATAAATTTTTATCAATTTCTTTTTTCTTCGGTTTTGAAACGCGTAATACGATGTTTTTTTTCGATATATATTTTCTTTTTTATGCAAAAAATCCGATCCAAGTTAATCAACCATAGAAAAAAAGCTCACATAATCAATAGAATATCAATATCAATAAATAGAATATCGGTTAATCGGTAACTAAATTAAATCATTGATAAATCTCGATTTTATTTAAAAAAGACCCTATGAATGAGGTTATTTTCATACAGTTGGCTAAAAGTATTAAAGAAGAATCGTGAACTGGAGAATGAGATTATGAAAGATGTACCAGGTTGGAAAACGGGCACTTGGTACGGCGAACCAGTCTATTTCACTCTTGGCGATAAATGGTGGGATCCAGGATTATTAGTAAGTGTCTTATTCTTTCCCATTATATATCACAGCTAGATCTAAGATTGAAATTTATTTATTTATTGAAATTTATTGAAATTTACTTTATTAAAAAGGTGCAGAAATCCAAATATACGAATTCTCATTTGCCCCTGATTGCATGCATACCTTACTTTCCTTCGCACATATGATTCTATCTCGCATTACATTTTATATTTTCTTATATTTTTTTATATTTTTTATTATATTGCCTTATATTTTTCTTCCTATTTCAGGAAGTATTCGCACATTCAGATTCAAATGCTAATCTGAAAGAGCAAATGTGGCGTCATCATTCAGAATATGGTGCACCGAAATTCTATGATAAATATATCCCTCAGTTCATTGCTGATCGTATTTGGTAGTGTACAATCAATGAAACATTTAGGGACTTAAGGAATTTAGGAATTTTAATCATTAACCATGGAGAATTAAAAACAATTCTGCGACAAAATCCATGAAAAAAAATTGATAGTTCATTTGCCTCACATCATACATGGGTTTTACATGTTAATTTTATAAAATAAATTTAAAATATAAATCAATTTCTTTTCTAAATATTTGTAATATATTTAAATAAATAATATTTAAATAATTGTAAATGCAATTCAGTCGAATTTGTTGTAACGACTGTTGGATCATTTCGAAAGTATTATTATTCTCCTCGATGTAAAAGTATATAGTATTATTATTCTCCTCGATGTAAAAGTATATAGTATTATTATTCTCCTCGATAGTGTATTATAGTTGTCTAGTAGGATTGGGAATTATCAAATTCATACAGTTTTTGCCGTGCTTTTCGAGCAGCATCCAATCGAATATTTGGTAATTCAAGATCTTTCTTATATTTTCCTTCATTTATATCAGATTCGCACCTAAATATAGCACTTCGTAGTTTATCGATGCAGTCGGCCATATTTAATGCCAATGATCTGGTTCGTTGTGATTCAATAACTAATTCTCCCGATCTAAAGAATAATAAAGTGACGGTTAAAAATGAATATAAAAAATGCTGGCAAAATACCAACTGTTAATATATTCTTCTTCTACAATATAACAACTCTCACTGGTCAGGCTGATTCCGCTGGCTACAAGAGTAAGACAAATCCAATCTTCTCGGTCAGACGCCATCGCTAGTAGTAATATAAGCCATTCCTTTATATGCAAATCCCTTATATGCGAAAGAAATATGTTCGATTATTGTATAATATTGTATTATTTATATTTATGCTTTCAAAATCCATTTTTATACTCGAAATAGCTTCTCTTGGAGGTGCCGGAATGAAATATTAGAACATACTTATTTACACGGTGAGCGTATTGCTCCTTTAAACATTTCTTAACGGTTTCATCAATCCAATCAACCCCGTCGATGCGCAATTTCACTTCTACTCGAGGTACTTCATCGCTCTCTGTGTGTACCACCAAGTCTTTCACGGGAATTCTACCTTTAAATGAGTTTGAAATCCTTCGGATAATTGGCAATGTCTGATTCATACCTACAAGCGTTTTGACCAAATTTCTCATTGTATATTCATGACCAAGTAATAATAAGCAAAATAAAGATGAAAGCGAATCAGGACTGACTTCATAAAAAGTTAATTTAAAATTAAAAACATGATATAATAATCTTCTATAAATTGTTTCTTCTTTCAATATAATATTTTTTCCTAGGTTTGGCCCAAAGTATCAATCGAATTCATAATTTAAAAAAGTTTATGCAATGATTAGATTAATATGAGAGTATTGAAACTCCGTTAAAAATGTATTCGAGTGAAAAAAATCAAATTTATTTCAAGAACAATATAACTTTAAAAAATATATTAAAAGATAAAAAAGTGCATCCATGAAATAATCACCTAATGTGTAAAAAATGCCCAAAAACTGCATTAATTGACATCAACTGCATTCGGACAATTCGGATAACAGTATAGTCAAAGAAGCAAGAAGTAAACATTTGATTTGATTTTTGCAGCATGTATTAACGTAAAAAAAATAAAAAATAAAATTAAAATAAAAGTATGACCAAATTTACAATGTACAATTGTGAAACAATGCTTTCAACAATTAGGAAGTTGGAAAGACTAAGTCAAATATTTGATCATAATGATTTACAAAATGAACTTCAACACCAGAACGAATGAATTCTGGCAAATCATCGTAATCCTTTCGATTTTCTTCTGGTAATATAACACAACTGACACCAGCCCTGGTTGCCTGCAAAAATTTTTAGTTCAACGACCTTAAAAAAATAAAAAATAGTTACAATATTTTTTATTTTTTTTAACTTTGAAATTCAAGTTCATATAAAAAATCTGTACAAAAAAGAAACTAAGAAATCTAAGCAATTTACTGCGATGATTTTTTCCTTAATACCACCAACAGGTAGAATACGCCCGGTTAATGTTATTTCACCCGTCATTGCAATATTGCTGCGCGCTGGTTTATTGAAAGCAAGTGAAAGCAACGCAGAAACAATTGTACAACCAGCAGAAGGACCATCTTTTGGTGTAGCTCCCTAAAACGTTCTTATCTATAATAAATTTTAATTCTAAAACTTAAGATAATTTTTGGCGAAATTAAAACAATTGTAATTTTTTAAATAACTGAACACCTTTAACATCTTTTTTAAATACAAGCAAAAATGAATAATACTTCTGGCACATGTACATGGACATGTGCTTTTTCCAAAAAATCATTGTCAGGACAACGCTGTAAAAGGATATTGCGAGCAACTGTGTATGCAGTGCGCATACTTTCTTTCATAACATCACCAAGATGTCCAGTAGCTTCAAGAGTGCCATCTATATTTCCCTTTTCATTATCAAACCCGCTACTTAATCGTCTCCTTAATGATGCTTCTATATACAATGCTGAACCACCTAAAATAATATTTATGAATTAAAACAGAATCACTCTTAATGAACTGAAAATAGGAGACATATAGACGTATGAATATGGATGTATGGATGTATGAATAGAAAAATACCCATAGCAGTCCAAGCAAGCCCCATAATCACACCCACAGGTGTAATATCATAAAGTCGATCACTAGTAAATTTGGGTCTTCCTACGAATTTCTCTAAATTGTCTTTGCCAACAACAATCAATTCGTTGCGATGATTCCTACCAGCAATGATAAAAGCAGCCTTACGGAATATCTGCAGATAGCAATTTGTTATATATGTGTTATTTATTTATATATATGTTATTATATATATGTTTCTTATTTGTAAAATAAATTTGCAAAATCCATTTGCTTTTAGAAAGAACGAAGAAAAAATATGTATGTGAATTAAACCAACGTATTTGTTGAGTTAATAATTTACTTACGTTACTACTGAAAAAAAATCTAATGAACCTTTTCGATATGTTTCTGTAAATTTCGAACACCTGATTCTCTACAGTACTGCTTGATGAGTAAATGCAAAGCGTCAGATGAAATTTGTAAATCAGCTTCAGTCAATGCACTAAAAGAAAAAACATATAATAAAAAAGACATCCACGCATATTTTCATTTTCCCAAGACAAACCAGTCTGTTCGACACTGAGGGATTAAATAATCATTGGCGATGTGGACTTTTTCCTCAGCAACATAACCGGAAACTTCAATCAGTTCCATACGATCTTTCAATGGCCCAGGTATTGTATCAGTTACATTGGCTGTGCATATAAATAATACCTAAATAAAATAGAAAGCTGCTTTCATTTTCGCTTCTTTACGGGATTCAAATTATTAATGAACAATTTAAAACAAATTAAAATTTAAAATAAATATTACTAAAGATCAAATCGTATAAGATTTTGATAAACTGATTTTGAATACTGAACATATCATGAAAGAGATGAACCTTTGACAGATCGACTGGAACATCGAGAAAGTGGTCATTAAAATTACTATTTTGCTCCGGATCAAGAAGCTCAAGAAGAGCAGATGATGGATCTCCATGATATCCACCAACAGCAACTTTGTCAACCTCGTCTATCAGTACCAATGGATTTTCAGTTTGTACCTGGAAATTTGGAAATAAAAGAATTTACCATCGAAGAATTTAATCAATGGTTTTGATGAATGAGCTTTAAAGAAGTTTTGAAAAAAAACAAAACCTTTTTCAGGCATTGTATCATTTTTCCTGGCATAGCTCCAACATACGTCCTACGATGGCCTTTTATTTCAGCCACATCACTCATTCCACCAACCGAAAATCGAAAATACTGGAAAAAGAAAATATAGCATCAGACATCAAAATTCCACATTAAAAGAGAAAAGTTCATAAGAAATATAAGATTCAATATAAGATTATTATAAAGAAATGTCAACTGTATGTGCACCCAAAAAAGGATAGTAGATATGTTTTTTTGCAACTCTTTATAAATTCTCAATATCCTTAAAACGAATTACTCATTTACAGGATAAGGCGATCTATGCTCAAAAATCTGAAAATAGCTGTACTCATTGTACTTTCCTTATTATAAATCCAAATGTCCTTCTTATATTCACCTTGCGATCCTTCTTCTCTGCCCACTCCCTCTTCACTTATATTTATTTTATTTAAGCCCAGTTATATTCATTTTTTCAATATTTAACCTCTTAATAATTCTTCCGCTATTTTTACTTGAGAACATCATGAAATACTGTTATGCATATAAAATTCACTGAAATTCCACTAACACCTCAAAGATCTGTTGTACACCACTGAATTGCTAGTGACACCTCCAGGACTTCGCCAAAATTTTTTGATATTTGCTCACCAAACCTTGCGTACTTTATTTTTTACTAGTTTATAAAATTCTGTTCAATCACAAGATAGTTTTTTCTGTCAAGTGACATCGAAGAAATATTTTTGAAAACCGCTCATCACCCATTACACCAAATCTAATGGAATTTTTCTATTTCTTTAAATTCCATTTAACAGTAGGGCTTTATTATTTTTTCGTAACATTCATTTAATTCATTATGCATATAACTTCTTAACACTTGCATGTAAATTCACGTATACAGCACTACAATATGATCGATCTGTTACAAAAGACTTTACACAAATGTGTGCATAGAATGGCTCAGTGGGTTGTTGCTCAATTGTGGGCGCCGATGCTGAGGTTCGATTCCCCCACAGGAGTAAACCTGTATAAAAATCCGGGTGATGTGGTGACTCACCTGCATTTCTATCGCCAAGGGAGTACCTCGCATATTGCCTCAATGCGACAAGCCAGCTGAGCGAGTTTAACCAGTAATGGTGAGGACTCTTTAAAAAAAAAAGACATATATGTGCAGGCTTCAAAAAGTGTAGCTAAAAAACTTTTAACTGGTGTATTGGAATATTTCGAAAGCTATTTTTTTAAATTACATGCAACTGTACCAAATCGATAATTATACAATAAGATTATAAAATTACGTATACGAAATTATATGGCAAACTCTGTACATAACGTTTTGAACGATCTAATAAAATCCCAAATCTTGTTCTTGAAAACAGCACAGAAAAATCGATTTAGCAAAAATAAAAAATGAAGAAAAAACGATATACTGAAAATATTTTCATATATTAAAAGTAAAATAGAATGTAAACCTCCCTATTCAACGCCCTTGCGATCGATCTCGCAATACTTGTTTTGCCAACTCCGGGTGGCCCATGAAAGCATAGTATTTTACCACCAACCTTTTTTTTCAATATACTCACAGCCATAAATTCCTGCAACATTTAATAGATATATATATATATATATATATGTATATATGGAACTTACAATCCAATATGCCCCAATAGTGTATTGGTCAAGAGCTGACAGATCACATAAAATAATAACGACTACATTTTGATTCGAATCGCAGCCGAAGTCTTACCTTTCCCCTTGGACAAGATTCTCTTAATGGTTAACAAATACCTGCCCTACCTTAAATGAGATTTGTCGCAAACTAGAATCATGCCAATCCGAATATCGCCAATATTAAGAAGATCCCGGTCAGATGTTGTGGGATCATGCTATCTGATGACAAGTGAGCTGAAACAGCGCCAGGTGTTGTGGAATGTTGTGGAACCAAGGCAAACTGGCGTTAAAAGGACTACAGGAGCAAGTCTTGCATGGACGAAACAAGTTAACCTGGAACTGACAATTGCTATAATAGTAGATCTAATGAATGAAAGAAATTATATAAAAGGTATGAAGGATCTGTGGATGAAGAAAAGACCTACATCCACTAAGAAACAATTAGCGCTTTAACATAAGAATTACAGAGAAAATAATTACTCTGTTACTTGGAGACAAACTCTGCACTATACCTCAGATTCAGAACTCGGGAAGAAGAGGAAAGAAGAGAAGGAAGAGATGGACATAACAAGCCGTGAAGCTGGAAAGCGCCTTCTAATCCCTGTTGCGAAGCAAAATTGACATGAGGCAGGAAATAAGTCAACAAAGCTATTTTAACTATCGAGATTGACTACCTAGGGTCAGTGAAACACCACCAGATAATATATCTGAAGATGCAAATAGAGTTCTCGCAATAATTTCTAGAAATGCTGGAAATAATGCATTTCAATAAAATCAAGAAGAATAATGCATTTTACCGTTGGAAAAGGAGGCCGAAAAATAAGATCAAAAGAGAAATCAGCCAGCTAACAGAAACATAGGAGATTAATAATGTCTGCATATTGGAAAAATACAAAATACATTCCATCATAAGTCCTCAAGACTGCTAAATAAAGGCTCATAACATTGGCCACAAGGCTAAGGAGATAAATGAGAGAAGCAAAGGTTAAAAAAATAAATGGCCTATTCCCCAATGAACCATACAAGATGTTATCTCAACTCCAGTGCAGATATGGTAACGACAGAGCCACGAATAGCAGGGAACAACAAAGGCATAACCAAATAGGTGGCATCATCATTCGTATCTTCCATCTGCTCGACATAGTGTTCAAATCCTCCCAAGATTAAATTGGAGATTACTCAGAAAACTCTGAATAATAATGCGAAGATCCTGTGGGAATCTTTTTCCAGACAAAAAATTATTGGTCAACCAACCAAATATCGTAGTAATGGACAAAACTAAGCACTGGTGATGTAGCAATACCAAGTGACAGGAGCGTTATGAAGGAATATAAAAAGAAATACTAGGGCGCCTGAAAGAAGAACTAGAGAAGATATAGTTAAGGTCAAAGTAATTCCAATGATAACTTGGAATTGTGACCTATGTTATAAAAGTGGCTTCAGATTCCAGGAACAATATTAGAGCGCACTATTAGGAACGGTTAAGATAATGTGCAAAACCCTCAGTCTCCCAGGCTTTTGATAGAGAAGTTGAGGATTATCATTACCATCGAAAAGGGTGAAAAAGATTATTAAAAATTTTTTATATTAGTTTTACAATTTTTTATAAGATTTTGCGAAAGTTTTCCCCAAAGACATTCAAAATTTCTTATTCAAACTAAACCCTTGATAAGATGAAAATCGAATGAAAAAATAATAAAATTAACCAAAATCCGATCCTTAACATCTTTCATGCCATAATGATCCTCATTGAGCACCTTAATCGCCCAGTCAAGATCAAAAGTTTCTTTTGATGTTTTACCCCATGGCATACTCGTTAACCAGTCCAAATAATTGCTTAATACATATATTATCAAAAAGTTAAAGAAGCCAAAAATCGAAATATATCAAAAGAAAAAAAGACAAATAAAAAAGATACCGTGATACCGAAAATTCGCTGGAATGAGGATCAAGGTAAGAAAGTTTTGCTTGTTCTTCTTTAATCACTTTCAGCACATACTCAGGCACATTCAAATCCTTAAGGCGTTCATCCATTTTTTCAGCGATAGCAACTTTATCTTCCTTCTCAATGCCCAACTCCTTTTTTATAGCTTTTAGCTAAAATAAATAAAATTTTCAAATATATTATGAAATTTTATTTAATTGAAGAATTTGAAATGGTGAACCATGAAAAAATGAAATGAAAAAAAAATGTTCGGATGAATATTCAATGTCTAAAACCTGCTCATTGAGGAGGAATTTACGATGCTGCTCTTGAACCTTCTTTTCTACATCTTTATTTATATCGTGTTTCAATCGAGCAAACGTCTTTTCTTTTTCAATCAGTACGAGAGCTAATTCTAGACGTCGTTTCACCTACAATCCGTCGTATCTTTATAACTTGACCATTAAAATAATTTTCAAAACGAAATTAATAAAGGAAAATAGATATGCTAAAGCAAATCGATCAAATACTAGATGGATTCTAATATGAAAATGAAAATATTACTAACGTTAACTTCTTCCATAATTTCTTGTAAATCAGAAGTATCAACACTTTGCACAATAGTAGCGACAAGATCACACAAATACACTGGATTGTCGATGACATTTTGTGAAGGATGGAGAAGAAGATTGATTTGTTGGCCAAATAAAGTGTTATATTGCACGATATCTCGAATGGTCTGCACAATTGCTTGCATGGTCGCCTGGAACGGGAAAATTAAGCTACAAAAGAATAAACAGATTAGACTAAACAGAAGAATAAACAATGAAACAATCATTATTATTTACCAAAAACAAAATAGCGTTATTCACTATTTTTTCGAAAAAAAAATCACTTTAAGTTCCAAACTCCTTTCAGCATGCTGAGGTAAAACATTTTCAGTTCTCGCAAGAATTATTGGTGTTTCTGGGATTGCTGGTTCAGCTGTTTGTTCTTCTTTTTCTACTTTGTCTTTAACATTTTTCCGCAATAATAGACGTCTCTGTTGCTGACCAGTACGACGACCGTTAACTTTGCTCAAATTTGCACTGCAATTTTAATAAATTTATTTTTTCTGAAAAATATAGGAAAAATATTCAACAATTCGACCTATATTCAATGTATATATACCAATGTATATATATATTCAAAGTAAATATTTTTTTTAAAAGCCCTCACCATTACTGGTTAACTCGCTCCACTATCTTGTCACATTGAGCAATATGCTAGGGAATCCCTTGGCGATAGAAATGAGTCGCCAGCATCACCCGGATTTTTGTACAAGTTTACTCCAGCGGGGAATCGAATCCCAGCATCGGCGCCCACAATAGAGCACCCACTGAGCCATTCTAATATATATATATTTTTATATATAATATATACATATTATATACATATATATATTCTCCAACACCATTTGATTAGACTGGCTCTGCTGGCTTTCCAGACCAGAGAAAATTTTAAAAAGTCACTTGGATATATAATTAAAAAGTGGACCGCCAGCATCATCCTGGATCATTAATGAATATACTGCACCAAAAAACAAAAATAAAAACCTGGCTGATACATCATCCATTGTATCTTCGACGGGCTCCAAGATTCGAATGCGACGATAAGCTGACAAAATCATCTCTATAAAAGCTCCATGATCTCTTATTTCTAAAATATGTGCGAACGTGCCAACCGAGAAGATATCTGCCAACGATGTTACTGTTTCAGCTTTATTCCTAAAAATATTCAAATTAAACTCGCAAGAATAGATTCAAATTTTTAAAAAAAATAAGATTAATATCACTCGAAAATCCATCCAACATACAGATTATTCGTTCCAGATGATATTTATTAATGTATTATTAATATTAATCAATATTTAATATATTAAAAAGCATCGTCTCACTCATCGTCTTTCTTCGTAAAAACACCGACATATGGCTGGCGCATTTTAATTTTCCGACGCAGCATTTCTTTCAATGACTCGTCCTGTTCAATCTGAAAATGTTACTGAAGCTTATGTAAAACCACAGAAATACTACCAATGCCGTAGTAAGGAAAAAAAATGCTTCGAAATTTTTGAAAAAAAGAAAACTTACAATGATTCTTTTAATGAAGCCCGGAAATAAAGGATAACGATTTATTGCAATCACGGGAACTATTGGCCATTCATCAGGAACAGTGACAGTACTCATTGACTAAAAGAATACATTGGTCGCAAAATAGCAAAAACTAACAAAAGTACTTTCTAAACAGTTTTTTCTTTTCTACAGAAAGTCTAAATCTTTAAAAACAAAAAAATTAAATCATAGAAAAGCCAAAACTACTGAAAAAATAAAAGCAAGAAAGAAGGAATTTCCTATATTCGACAATTTTAGAAATTACCGAATATTGAAAAACAAAAAAAATACCCCTGGCGTAGCTAAGAGCTCTTCCACCTTTCCAGTATGAGTTGATCCATCAGGAGCGTCAGGCTCTATGTCACTTGGGAAACCTCCATCACCTTTTCCTTTTGTATCACTAAATAAAACAATAACATAGTGTTCCAATATTTTAAAGAACCATTATTAATTTCTAACATGACAAATAAAAAAAAATATTTTACAAACTTCTAATTCTCTGGCAGCCATCCATCTTGAACTTGTTTTTTGATGTAAAATCTCATAGCAGAATGAAACAAACCTGCTGTAATATCGAAGAACCACAGAACACCTCAATGATTCAGACTTATTCGACCCAGCACAATTATGCTGTGGTAGACACAGTTGGAAATTAGAAATTTGCCTTGGCTGAATGAAAAATAAGCGCGACAAACGATTGATATTTTTTATATTTCCAAGAACAAAACTCTTCGGTATGTTCATTTTAATTCGTTAAATGCGATCTTTCTGCTTGGCTCCTTATTTCCACAAGTTCTGTAGTAAACAAACTATTCAACAGGCCAACATTTAATAATATAAATTTAAAAAAAAATTTTTTGCTTAAGAAAGATTCAATTGGTGGATATACAAAATAAAACTATGAACGGAAAATTTCCACAAATTATTTATACACCAAATGATACAAATTAAGTTAAAAAAGAATAAAAGTTTACAATAAACGACCACTCCCAAACAAAATATATAATAGTGAAGTATTAATTGTCAGCAATATGTAAAAAAGAATTAAAATTAATATTTAATAAAATTAATTTTATTTTTCGAATTAAAACATAAGAAAGAAAGATCCACATAGAAATCGCAAAAATAGCAATAAATGATAAATGAAAACTATTTAGTTTTTTTCTTCTCTTTGGGAGAGGAAGTTTCACCAATTTTCTGCACCGGCTGCCACTGAAATTATTAGCTAAGAATAGAGAAAATTATAGATTAATAATAATTCATTATCAAAGACTTGATGATAGGAACTTTTAGGCAATTCAGTTAAAAGTGACCACCAACACTTTTCCTTATAAGATCAAAAATTGTTGGCAATTAATAAAGAATTGCTCTTAATTAATAAGAATAAAAAAAAATGTTAAAACATATGTATGCAATAATAGAAAATAATACTGAAAACTTACATAAATCGGATTACGTCTTAGGTAAGGCCAAGGAGGAACAACAAGCAATGAAGATAAGAAAAACCCGATGCCTACTGTATAAATAGCGTGCGATAACTGCTGAGTAAGATGACCAATGCAAAATCCGATAATAGCGGTCACAATCAAAATCACCTGAAAACTCTTTTAACCAATCTAGTGTTCCCTATATTTTTTATATTATATATAAATACCGAATGGCAATATTTCACGAGTTGCTTTCCATATTTTTTGCAAAATTCTTTCTATGAAAAAATCAGTTTGTCTAAAGACTTGGATTGATATGGTCAGGAACGATTTTGAACGTATAGATGGACTAGTAATATATGGACTTAAACGATGCAAAAACGAATGGCTTCTATTACCGTCGACGATGGGATCAGACCGCGCCGCTTAGAAGCGGACCCTTACCCTTCTAGCCGTTGGGGCCAACCTAACTAGTAATGGTGTGAGCTGTTAGAAGAAGATATTTAACTCCACGTAAACTAAAATTAAAACAGAGCAAAAAACATAAACAATTAATTACTCAACTGACTTGACGATAAAAAAAAAAGGAATGATTAAAAGACGGAAACGAGACTGGATTGGGAGGTCCGAGTCTTACTGCCACCAGTGGAGAGGGCCAAACCACCAACGAGCTGTCAGAAGAAGAAATAATAAACTAAAGCATCGATTATGCAATAAATACACATTTCGATTCAAATACTTTTAACAGATGAGTGCCCGAGCCTTTTAACTTTTAATTTAAATAACCTAAAAAGATTTACGAATTACTGCAGGGAAATTAAAATAGGCAAAACCAAAATTACTTGAAAAATTCGTTCCGCTTTTTGCTGACCAACGAAATCGATATACGTTGAATATCGCCGCATTGACGAAGGAAGCATTTGAATGAAATTATCCATTCTAAGCAATTAAAAGAACTTAAAATTAACAAAAATTTTTTCGTATTATTAACAACGAACCGCAAAAATATCAAACATTCCGAAATTTCAAGAAAGTTTTGACTTAATAATAGGATGCAAATGGTTTTTTTCTTAAAATGGATTTCAGCGATAGGGAGGAGACGAACTGCTAAAGTAATTACGTTATTCTACAATTAAACCAACAGTAATGAATGTCAAACTGGAAAAAAGAATATTCTGAATTAATACTATAAGAGACGAAAGGCACTTCTTTAAAACTATGTGGGTTTGCCCTCTATAATGACAAAGTTTTTTTTTTAAAGGGAATTCACCATTACTCCGCTGGCTTGTCGGGCTAGACAAATATGCCAGGGGATCTTTTAGAAAAAGAAATACAGGCGAGCCGCCAGCATCACCCGGGTTTTCGATTTAGGTTTTAGACATCCTTCCTGTCAGAACTGAAACCCCAACATTGGCGCTTTGGCGAACCAATCAACGACGCATTGAGCCATTTCACTCACTTCGCTCTCCGCCTCAAGGCAACAACCAGCAATAAAAAAGTGATGCTTCGGCGGACACAGGTCTCGATCCTCGGCTGCAGTCACCTTGTCACCGACCTATCTCACAGTGACCACAAGACAAACAGACAAATAATCAAGCAGCTCAGGACCGAACTGTCTAACACGGTGAACTAGCCGGCGAACAAGGATTAAAAAGTAAGCAGAGGAAAACCTTGTTTAAAAGGTAACAGTTATAAATTGAAGAGAGGAATGAGTAGAACACGCCTCCCACTTACGATGGAAAATAGGCTCAACAATTAACAGCAGCCGATTTATTCACTAAAAGAGAATCACTAAAAAAAAAGAATCGCCTGCATGATCTCTCGCGCTGAAATTAGTTCCAACTCAGAGAACTTCGAAGAAAATAATAATTCAGCTTCAGTATTCAAACAAATGATATGTTGAGCAGTCATTTTATCTCATAAAAAAACGTTATACAACAGCGAAAATTTTCCGAATTTTCAATTTTTTTATTGCCATATACATCGATGAAATAACAATAAATCTACATTCATAGAAATTTCTCATAAAATAAAATAGTTGCAAAAATTATGATAAATTTAATAAAGTTGGAAAAAATTTTACTAAATCCTTTCCTCTTCAATGCGCTCTTTCAATAAGAGCAAAAAAACAAAACTGCCTCACAACTGCAAAAAAATGTGAAAACAATCCAAATGATTGGCAAATTCGTTAAACTGAAACTGTGTTAAAAATCATCGAAATCCTATATAAAATTCAACGCTTCGACCAAGCAGTGGTCATCAAACTGATGACGGACTTTCTAAGGCACTTAAAGAGCACACTACGAATTGCATATTTTCAATTTCATTTGAATGGTAATGAATAGATCTTGAAAATGTACTGGAAATTCATGGATTTTTACCATACTACCTAGGGGATACGCTGAAAAAAATTTTGATGACCATTCACTTGAGTACAATTTTTAAAAGGATGAAAAAATAGGAACGTACAAATTTTGTATTTAGTTCCAACTTAGAACAAATTCTTATTTACAAAGTTTATAAAAAAATTTTAAAAAAAAGAAATGGAAACATTGAAAATATTTTAAATCAATCAAAAAGAAATTAATTTCCAATTTCCAAAACATAGGTGTGGACAGCCCACGAAATACATTTGCTTTTTCCCGAAAATTATTAATTACCAAAATTTCGCCAATTTTTCACTTCGGTTGAAAATAGGTAGGATAGGCTCGATTTTCCCTAACGGGAATAAAATTAAAACCAAGCGCGGGATGCAATCGGTTTAGGCACAAGTTTTTACTCACAAGTAAAACGATTTTTCTCGAACTTTCCCAAATTTCAGAATTCGACTTCTTTCAAATATTGAATATCACTTTGAAAAAAAAAAGTTAGTACAATTTCTAAATGATTTAAGTCGAATACTCAAGGTCTGATAAACTATACATACAACATCGCTTCCAAATATATAGCAAAAAATATCAACATATACAATATAATCATTATAAAAAGATATAAAAAAATGAGATACGTAAATATTAAGATTTAACCTGTACAAAAGAAATGAGACAGTGATCGCTTCATTATTGGTCCATATCTCCATTTGGATTCGTAAAATCCTTCGGTTCCCACTGAAATTAAAATCAATCAGTGTATAAAGGCAAATACTATTAGAGATTTCAAAATGAGATAATGAAGTTCCCTCTTAATACTCGCCTTTAAATTATTTTCATCAATCCATATCCTAGTTTCATCCTTTTTTACACTTTCCCTATAAGACTGCATTAAACTGGTGTTTAGAATCAACGATACTCTGAAAATTAGTTTTTAATTAATGAAAATTTGTAAAAAATGTCTTTTGACAAATCTTTTAACAAAAATCTTTTAATTAATAAAAATTATTACAATAATTTAAATAATGAAGTGAAATGTCCAAAAGAAAGTTTAAAAATTTTAATGTTTGAAAATGATGAAAGAGAATAAAAAGAATAAAATATCAAAAGATTGGTTCCAATATGAAAATAATTAAATAATTTAATTACAGGTGAATTATAAAAATGACACTACTAAATGATATTACTTTGATATTAAGACTAAAAATAAAACAATCGAATAACCGAATTGAATTTTATCACCCATAAATAGTGCAGGTTTACTGCAAAGCTTTATTAATCAAGAATCTAAAAAAATTAAATGAAATTTTAAAAATTCGAACGAGTCATCTTCGATTTCAAGCATTTGCATATCAGATAATGTCTGAATAACATCGATGTAAGATATACCAGTATATTCAGCCACATCTATAATACAAAATATCTTCCATCGAAAAGAAGATACCATAAGAATAAGAACCTATTTGAAAAAAACAAGGAAGTACACCTGAAAATATGAAAATTAACCATGAATACTTATGGATTGATTTTTGCTTTCCACAAAGGAATGGAAAAACTCCAATATAGCTGCTCGCCAATAACTGCGATATGCTACTCGACCTAGTTCAGATAGCGGTTTTTCAGGAGTACCAAGAAGTTTTTCTTTCCGAGACAATAAGAAACCTAAAATTTTCTCTGAATATAAATACAAAATATTTGTTTCTTAGCACAAAGAGAATAGAATCAAAAAAACTTAATGAAAAAATACAGCCATATTTTTAAAATCTGAAAATTTTAATGATAAATGATGAAATATAAAAAACTAATATAAATATATAAAATATAAAAAATATAATATTATATAAATATATAATATAAAATATAAAAAACAAACTAAAATCAATGAGGAAACGCCCAATTCCTCTTTTATGATAACATGGAAAGGTAAGTAGACAAGACAAATTATTTTTTTGAGCGGAAAATTTTTCCTGAAAAGATATCAAGAAAAGTTACAAGAAAAAGCTATGAAATAAAATGAAAAAAATGAAAAATTTTAAAAATTTTGAAAAATAATGTAATATTTTGTAATTTAATGAAATTAAAATAAAATTTTTCACTTATTTTGCTCAAGTCTAAATTTCTTTTTGAATCTTTCAATTAAAAGTAAAAAATGATGTTATGATATAAAACAAATATAAACAGCAAATGGAAATTCTCTACATTTAGTTTTTTACCAAAAAAAACTAAAAATCCACCTTACTGAAATAACCAACTATATGACAACCATAAGAATCCGACAATGTAGCAACATAAAACAGAAAAGGCTCCACATCATATAATAATGTTTTATGATCGATAAAAAGCTTTGCAACCGTACAAAGATTTTGACAATAGTTTTTTGAGATTTCGCCATCAACCTAAAAATGTAGACGTAATACTAAAATATTTTGTAAATAAAATGAAATAGATTAATTAAATAAAAATTAAAAAGCTTACTTCAAATATTGATAATTGACCTTGTCGAAATATCTCGTTACCAGGGGGATAAACTTCGATACACTTTCGCTAAAAATCCATTATAAAAAATACCAAAAAGAAAATTGGAACTTGATGAAAAATGATTCCAACTATTTTTAAAACATTTTCCATTGAAAACAAAAAAAATCAACCCTGTTCAAAAAACGAGAAAAAGTTTGAAATTATAATTAAATTGAATGAAATAAATGAAAATACCAAATGTCGCTGAAGAGCTTCAGCGCTTGCTTTGAAATTCAAACATTTTTCGCAAACAAATAAATGTTGATTGGAAGCTATTTCCGATGGGATTGAAGAGTTATACCAAGTATTCATTTCGTACAAACCAATAGTGAGTTTCAGACGAGGTAGGTCTTCCTTTACATCCACTTCCTCTGCTGACTTCTGAATAATTTGCATTAGCGGTAAGTTTTTTTTTTCGCTTTTCTTGCTTATATATTCAGCGATTTTGTTAAATTTTTCATATCATCGCATATAAAAAAGTGAAAAATACTTTATTTTTTGATTTTCGTCTGTTGTAAAATATTCTTCGCCTCGATTTATTCAATTTCTTCCTTTGCGGCCTAACAGACTGTTTCACATTAATATTTTGCTTGGATTGTTCGAATTCATAAGATGATAATTGAATTTCCTAAATTTTACAGATATAAAAAAAAACAGAAATATCAGAACCAAAGAAGCCAAAATAAAAAACTTGCATACACTCCAAAAAAAAATTTTCCTTTGATTATAAAAATATACAAAAATTTATATTGCAAATTTGAAAAGAAATAATTTATAAACCACTGAAAACTGCTGAGATCACTTAAAAATTTCTGATTATAAAAATAATTATTTTCGGTTCAAACAAAATGCAAATGTAATAAAAAAAAATACAACCGATAATTGGAGAAATGAAAAACCTCGGTATAAAGCGGTTCATCTTTTGGAATTTCATCTAGAACATTCATGGTGCCGGGTTCAGGAAGTGATGCTTCGGGTTCTGTAGGAGGTGATTTAGCCACCAGTGGGACATCTCCTTTCATATTTTTATGCGTAAAATAATTGGTAATATATACCTTCTTTGAAACGTTCATTTTAGGCTATAAATTAAATTAATAAATAAATTATATAATAAAATAAATTATTTAAAGTAGTGGAAAAAAAAAAGAAAATGATAAAGAAGCTTTAAACAAAAATTTCAAGATAACGTCGATTTCAAGATAGAAAAAAAATATTGAATTTGATATCTTTTTTTTGAAAAAAATTATTAATAAATTACAAAGCAACATAAAAATGGATTTACCATGGAATGTTGATTGCAAATTCGCAATTTCATTTGAAAACACGAACTTTAACGGCAGTGAAAAATGAAAAAGAACCGAAAATTCTCAAATGTGGTTCAAATAAGCGTCTGAAAAATGAATGAGTCAAGGAAAAAATCATAATTATCTCATAATTATCAATTAAACGTAAATACACCGATTATCAATGACTTAAAGATGACTAAAAGTATCTCATAGATTTGTAAAAAACTTGATTAAAACATAAAGCGGCTATATAAGGTCGATAAGTATCTAAGAGATAATTTCGAAACTAAAATTTCATTCAAAGTATTAAATTTTGCTAATTTGACCAATAGTCAATTAAATAAATGCTAAATATAATTAATATATAATTTTACTTTTAAAAACGTATTTTTTTAACCTCGTTCCTCATTCTTTTCATTATTTGTAAGTTTTGTGCGAGCATACTGACAATGACGATAAAACTGAAAAATCTTTTTGACAAATTCTCCATCACCAGTTTATTTTTAACACCAATAATAATTCGAATTTCCAATTTCCAATTATTCCTTAAACTCCCTACTTATATATGACGCATAACACTCAAATAATGATCCAACCTTCATGCTGAAAATATGGCTGTCACTGCCGAATCCCAGTGAAGAAATTTCAACATGGATGAATGAATTTTGACTAAGGATCGACTACGGTTAAGCACGATAGGTTTGATTCTTATCCCTTAATAGGTAAAATAAAACGACATAAATATTAATGAAAGAAATGAAAGATGCCCTTTTCAACAAAAATGAAACCCAACTCACACCTACACCTACCTTCGGTGAAAGGACCCCACCCCAATAGCTAAAGAGCCCAGAAACAGCGAGTAAATCCGAACGAGGAAGGCGAACACTACAAAAGCAACTCCGAACTAGTAATGAGCCTCATTCCACTAGGGAAGAACCTCATATTTCTTACAAGAAATTCGAAAAAAATTCGAAACTTTTATACAATATTGATCGATAAAAGTGATAATTTTGGAAATTAGAAACAAAAATTTAATCAATAAATGAAAGACTTCCGAATACTTAATATTGATCGGTAAATTTAAATTTTTCTACTGCACAAAAGCTAATTTATTATTGAATTTAACGGGGATTTTTCTCAAAAAAGAGAAATTTTATAAATGAAATTATTTATAAATGTAATTTTCTAAAAATGCACTGAAAATCCGTTCCAATCGACTTTATTTTATTTCGGCTAACTCGGCGATAATTCTTTTTTTAAAATCCCCTTAAAACAAAGCAAAAATAAAAAACCCATCATTCACCTCATTCACTCATTCATTCACTATTAAATTTCTACTATAAGCATCAAACAAGTAATATTCGCGCCCACAGAAAAATTTGTTACTGCAGCCGCTGAGCTGATTATTATAACTTAATAATACAGTAGCCTAACATTCGTTGTATAACATTTGATTAAATTCTTCGAATTTTGCAACTTCATTCCCGACTTCATTGAAAAGAGCTCTTGGAAATGGAAGCTAAGGGGTGGGAAAGTTCCATTATTTTTTGCAAGTCCAATTGAACCAAATTTTTAGGGGGAAACAAATTATAAAATTATTTCTTAGAACTATAAACTTATTTGTTGTAATCGATTGCATTTATCGTAATATTCTCTAATTTATTCTCTTTATTTTACATAAAAATTAATTATTATTATAAATTACTAAGGGAAAAAAAAAGTTAATTCAGTTAATTCTCCATAAAACTAAAAGGAATGGTGAATATTTATTGAAAAAATATGGAAATTTTTTTTACTTTTCGACTTACGAATGATGGATCTTCCAATATTCCAATCAGACTTTGTTGCATAAAAAACGGTCACCACGCGAGTGTCTTTCGCTGGCCACGGTCCTAGGTAGGGCTTTCGCGTAATAAATGTCATTTACTGCTATAATATTCGTAGCTGCTGTTCGATTCCCCGCAGGAGTAAACCTATCGCCAAGGATTTCTGGCATATTGCTCAATGCGATAAGCCAGTGGAGCGAGTTTAACCAATAATGGTGAGGTCTCTTAAGAAGAAGAAGAAGAAGGTAATATTCGTAGAGTAAAATTATAAGGAGATAATGGCGAAATCATAAAGCAGATTTAGCAAAAATTCTTTAGTTTTTTCGATATTTTCCGTTTCGCATGCGATTTTCCTTTTCCTTTTCCTTCTCTTTAATCCTTTCTTTGTATTCTAAGATTCTCCTCTTTGCAAGGTGAAATTCTAATATTTTCACTCTTTCATGTATGCTCAGTGAAAAAGGAGAGGGGTAATTTGATCTTTAGCTGCTCTGGTTATTAATAGATTAGAGATTTTCGCCAGGGAATCACCTGGCGTACAAATAGGTCGCTGGCATGACTCGGACTTACAACTGGCGAATCCATGATTCTCAATACGATAATCTGAGCCACGAGCCACTATCCACTCTCCATTTGTTTACCTATTATGCGTTCATGCACGATGGATTATTTGTTATTTAGTCTGTGAAATGGAAAAGAAGCTGCAAAAGTTTTATTGATAGTTGCGGTGACGCGGTGACAAAAATGACGTTTTTTTCGAAAGAATCTTCTATGAGTCAGCAACAATCGTTTATAAATGATTTCATCGTTGTTGTGCAATCGTTTCGGCTATAAATAACGAAAATTTTAAGGTAATTTTTAATTTTAAATTCGACGTTTGAATTTTTTTTAAAAATAAAAAAGTTTATTAATTTTAATTCTCTGAGAAAAATTTTCAATTTATTTTGGTTCATCGATTTTCTTTTCTTTTTTTCTTCTTCTAAATCGATTTTTTTGATAATTAAAAGATTTTTTGGCTGATTTTCGTAGTTATTTAACTTCTCTGACGAATGTTCGTCCATTCTGAATTTGCAAAAAAAAGATAGAGCAATGAAATGTGTTAAGTCGAAATACTAAAATTTTGTTTGTTGTTTTCTCCTTTTAATCGTTTTGTCGCGCAAAATTTAGTTTATCGTTGGTTTCTAATTATTACTAAGAAGAAGACGCTCACCGCTGCTGGTTGTGGGCCATAAAATTAGAAATGAGTGGCCATTATCGTTCGGTTCGGAATTAATTGATTTACACATTGCTGATGAAAGATTAGACACAAAGAATAAACGCTTTTTGGAATCTTCTCCGAGCCTAGCGATAGCAGTTTTAATCGTTACAGGTTCAGTGCGGCTGGAAAGTGTTTGTATTTGTAAAGCCAACAGCACTTTGCTTTAGCCAATATAATAAGGATTTCAGGATTTCGTTTTGTACTTTCATTTTAATGGGATGGGAAAGTACGATAAATAAGAAGTGGCAAAGACGATAAAATGGTAATGACTGAAGTTCTGTTACTGAGCAGCTGATTTCGAGATTCATTAGAGCACTAATAATTCACATTAAATAAAATAAAATGTCGAATTTCGAATTCATAGACTGCAGATGGCTGTAGTTCTTTTCGCTTATTCTACTGCCACGAAAATTAGATGTTTTTAATATTCGGTTGTTTTATTTTATTTAATTTTATTTAAGGAGGAATGCCGCAATATTTTGACAATGAAATTCCATATTTTGGGCGAAAAAGTTCAAAGGATTTGAAAATTTATCGCAACAGTAAACAGTAAGAATTTCCAACTTTCCTTTTCTTATTTAATTCTTTTATCATGAAAAAATTTGCGTAGTATTTCGATTAATAACTGATTTTCAATTTCATTAACTTTCATTAACTTAACTTCATGTATTGCTAAAAATTGGCTTTCACTGGAGAAGCACGTGTGCTTCTATCCCCAAGTAATTTCTTACCTGAATAATTTCGAGATTCTTTGTTAGTGCAACCAAACTAACCAGAAAGAGTGCTTTAGGACGAAAATAACTTATAACAGAAAGCTCTTCAAAATACCACTATGAAAAGTTATTCCTTTTGTTATTTTGATTATTTATTCATTTTAAAATATTCATTTAAAATATCAAAGTCCTCTTTGTTCAATATTTATCTCATGATTTGTGTTTTAGAAAAATTGCACCAGACTGTGTAATGAAATGCTTGGAGCAACAACCATTTTGGGAATATCTCAGTTCTGATGGTACCGTAAATAATGATTTCTTGCAGGTTCGCCAGTGGTTATTAATTTAAGTGTTATTATTAATCTATTTATTTTCAATTTGAATTTTATGTTTATGATTTGTGATAGTATTTCATTCATTTTTTTTTGAAGCATAATACGTTTTTAGGTTCATAATTATTATAAAAAACAGATCATAGCAGCCAGCAAGCTTTTCTTCGATCGATTTCATATAGCTTATTCAATTAAAAAAAAGAAAAATTGGAAACTTATCGACGAAACGAAACGTAACATTTCTGGCATTCAGGTCATTACATGAAATTTTTTATGCAGTTAATTATAGAAAATTTTGATCACACTAAAAAAAACTGGAAGATGGTTATCTATTAAATGATTTGCCCCAACTGTTCTTTTAGGATGAGCGTGCAAGTTTATTGGTGATGGTTGTGAAGGTCAATTCTTCCATTTTATACCAGTCGGAAAAGTTTGTTAATACTTTAGATCATGTTCCTGTTGATGAGATACATTTAATCGATGTAAAGAAGCACGAAATTCACATGAAGACTAAAGATTTGTTATATGGAGAAATATTTCAGTATTTATTTTTATTTGTTTTTATTTTATTTCCTTATTTTTTATTCATTTTTTTTTCTTTTTTTCCTAAGAAACGTTATTCTATTTCTATTTCTATTCAGCCCTCATAAAGCTATTCGGCAGAATGTGCCATCTCACGTTTGGTACAAAAAACGCATCAGTAGGAGATACCATCCTGCACCAATTCTTAATTTGTCTGTTTTTGGCTTATCGGATAAAGTTGTTGTAGTTCTGAAAGAATTAATATCGAAATATAGCAATCGATGGTTAAACATGGATAAGAAATGGATCAGAAAATATAAGTATAATGAAAAAAATGGAAGAAAAAAAAAAGAGAGAAAAGATCGCCGTTTTGATCAATATAAGAATTTTTTTGCATTCGAATACGAAGGAAACGTTTACGAGCCGTTTGATGAAGATTTCATAGAAAAATGGTTTTTGAAACCAAAAATCAATGATACTTCACAGTTTTATAAAGAGAAGGATATTAAAAAAAATGGAATGAAAAAAGAAAGAAAAGATTATCGAAATAAGAAATTTTTTTTATTGAAATACCAGGAATACGAGTCATATAATGAGGATTTGGAAGAAATACAGTTTTTGGAACAAGAAATTAATGAGATTTTTCCTACTTTACACGAATCGCATTTTTGTACTTCTGATTTTTTCGTTGATAGATCATCCGTTCTTAAATCAAAACGTCAACGGAAAGGCAAAATACCTAAGGTTTCAATTGGAAATTTTTTTTGGAATTTTAGAATTCTTCGATACCAAAGTTTATTAAAATTTTACAGTGTTGCCATTAAGTATTTTTTTTATTTGCAGATTCGTTCTAAAGAGTTTGAACAATGGTTCTCTGACAATCCTGCTCATGAGCTTCATGAAGATGGTTTTGTCGATGATGAAAAAAGACGTGTTATTGATTCTAAACAAAACAATGTTTTTTCATATGTGCCTTTACCGTTGTATAATATTTTTTTAAATCAACAGGAAGCGGAATTTGTCAAATGTCGATTGCTACCTAACACTCAACCAGTTTCGAATATTATTCCTATTTCCTATACAGTTGATTTCAATTGGCGACATAATCCTCATTTAGAGTTACCAGAATTTCTTAAGAATTATTATGGTTCCATTATCATTCAACCGATTTTGTATGGTAGTAGTCAAAGAGAATTTCTTAGGTTAGCATTGATTTTTGTCCTTTTAACCATTTCTTCCTTCATTTTAAAAAATGGAATTCTAAATATCAAATGAGTATTGAATTTATATTTTGTCAGGATTATTCTTAATCCATTTACGTCGGAAGACGATAAATTTGATGAAGATGTTAAATCAAGTTTATTGGTGTCAAGGTCTTCATTTGAAAAATTTCTTCCAAGAACTGTGCAGTTGCATAGTTATGACGCTTCATCGGCTTGCTGCATTTTTTTGCAAGAAATGTTTCTGACTGAGTACGAGGTATCAGTTTAGTCTCATTTCTTTAATATATTTTGATGTGAAAATAGTTTTTTCAAATTTTATCTTTCTTTGCAGGATCAGCAAGACGAATTATGCTTACCGAGTTATGATAGTGATTTTTATTGTTCCGTATGTGGTGAGAATGATAAATATAAATACGGTTTTGCATTACAATGCAAGCACTATTTTTGTGCCGATTGCTGGGGTCAATATGCAGTGGAGAGGATTTCATTGGCTAGAGTTCCAGTATTGTGTCTCGTAAGCTTTGATTTATAAATATCTTATGTTTCATAGTTATTAGTTTTATATTAGTCTAAAGCTTCATATTGTTTATTTGATCGAGCCAGGCACAAGAAATATATAAATTAATTTATGTTCTTTTGATAAATTGTGAATATTCGTTAAATTATGCATTAAATTGCAGAAAACATTTTGTAACGAAAAGCTTTCTTTGGATCAAATGCGAATTTTTCTTTCCAGTAAAATTTGTAATCGGTATAAAAATTTATTGTTTAACAAAGGAATGATGCGCAAAGAATGGACTTACTGCCGTAAATGTTCAAAAATATTGCATATTCCGGAATGTAGCAAAATAGAAAAATCGTGTGGAATCTGTAAATGTGGTTCATCTGTTTGTTTGTTATGTGAAGGAGAAGTTCACTTCCCTTTGTCTTGTAATGAATACGAACCCTACGCCAACGTGGTGGCAGCAAATGGCAAGTTTTCCAAAATTTTTAAGAGGAGTGGATGTGAAAAAGTATCATACTTTTAGTAATTGATTTAATGTTATGGTTATTTTTACTTTTCATTTAATATGATATTATTTTTTCATTGAAACCCGTGGATATTTTGCAGAAAATAATTTACGACAGTTGAATGTAAATAATGTCTCCTTTGCCAAATGTCCAAAATGCGGTACTTTTTGTGAAAAAAACGAAGGTTGCGATCATATCGTATGTATTTGCAATTTTGATTTTTGCTATCAATGTGGTGAAGCTTGGCGAGACGACCTACCACACTATGCATGCAAAGCGGAATTTGAGGTAATTCATTTTAGGGGATATCATTAGGTGCATCGATGGCTAAGTAGTAGGATGTTTGCTTCCGAGAATCGAGAATAATTAGATTCCAATCTGGTTACCATGCTTCGTCGGGCGATAATGCCGTCAAATAGCAAAAATGGGTAGAATGGTTTGTTCAGATCAGAGCGCTGATGTGATTTCTACTACCCGTATGCACTTGTATCATTGCCATTTGACTCATTGGCAAAATTTTTTTGCACCAACTAGTGAAGGGAATCTAACCAGCAACGGTGGGCGATCTTGAAAAACTATCAACAACAATGAAAATTTTTTTATCATCATTTGAATCATTTTATCTTCTTTTCTTCTCCATTTCTTAAGTTAATTACACATTACATATTAATAACACATTTTTCCAGCAAGTTAACTTATATGATGTGCCGATCAAAGTTAACAATAAAATTCCATTAAATGTAGTAGAAGAGTGTTTCACATATCGACGAAGCGATAAAGAGTCATTATTAATGAAGTATTTATTGAAGATATTAAAATCTGACTGTGATATGCTCGTTGATGTTCGCTCAACGTATTTTGCTGTAAGTTTCATATAATTTAACTTTGTTTCAGTAATAATGTGGCATAAAATCAGAGTTTTGGAACCATTAATTAGGCATTTCACTTTTTTGCTTATAAATCCGTTTTAAGTTATAGAATTTGATAGAAATTAGAAGTTACCCTCAAATGTCAATCAACGGACATTGCGAAAATATTTATAATAACCATCAGTTTCTCTTTGCTTTAAGCTCCTTTAACAAAGACTGCGGGTTTGTTATTCATATATAATTTCAGATTACCCGTTTTATGGAAATGCTTTTATTAAAAATTCATTACACTAAAAGTTATTTGAAAATATGGAGGAAACGAAGCAATGCAAATAAGATGAATATCAATTCAATAAAGTTACGAATTCTCTTGAAGTCAAAAAATAGACTTTGCTTTTCGTTCAGTTTATTTTGCTCTGCAATTAATGAACGAAATCGAATGAAGATTATTCGATCGAAAAAGTTGTTGGACAGTACATTGCAAGCATGCATTGCTGAAATTATTTAAAGCTTTGATGATTCTCAGTATTTCTTCGAATGCATTATTTCATGATATAAAAAATACTAGTTATAATTATTTATATTGATTGTAATATAAAAATTATTTTTAATGAAATAATTTATTAAATTAGTCGAATTTTAAAAATATCGAATGTTATATGTTATTACATGCGTGCATTTCAGTTGTATAAAAATTGTAAATAAGTTGATTATTCTTAATAAATAATTATATTACTATAATTATTTTATATTTATCGAAACCACAGTCATTTTTTAATTTTTTAACTGTTTTTATTTAATTTTATTATTTTTATTTAGCATTTGCCAGAGATTTAACGGAAAAAACCGCTCATTTTATTTCCTTAATTTGTTTCCTAAATTACTAATTTATTTCCTTTGCATTTCCTTTTTCTTTTTCGCTGCTTTGGCTATAGAATTTATAGATTTGTTTTCTTATCGTTTTTTTCTTTTTTTTTTTTGTCCTTGTCATCACCTTGTCTTACTTTTACCTTTATTAACCACACATTTTTCTCAGTAAAACTGCAAACTAAAAGATGCATTCAGCGCATTTAGCTACTTTCAAGCAACGAAACTTATTTATATAACGTTGCTTAAATCCATTCGTTAACAAGTAGTAGGAAGGGAAAGTCAAGGAGATCGAACAAACGATGGTTCGAAATTATTCATTTGGCTCACGAATGTAAAGGCGATTTGAATTCTGGAATTTTGCGAGTGTTTAGGGAGTTTCTTGGTACAAAGCATAAATTTTAGAAAAGTGCCTAGCTTTAACTAATTTGTAAACTATTGAAAAGTTAATTAATTTGTGTAGAAATAGCGGGTGGTTTAGGCGAACCATCTGAACTATCGTCAACGACTCCATCACAAAATTTCTAATTGTATTAACAAGAGGTGGAGCTGGTTTTACCAGAAATGGTGGACGGCAATCACTCATATATGAGAAAGGGAATCGATACAAATTAGGATTTGATTTATCTCGAAGGTCCCATTAGGGTCTATGAGAATTTACGAGTTCATTTATAAATTAATATTTGCATTCAACTATTTTGCAGTTTTGCTTCTTTAATAATGTACTTTAATTAAAAAGCTTCAAAGCCTTTTGCATGTTGGCTTTAATAATAATGTACTTATTGGCTTGGTCTACTTTTTTGTTGAGAGGGTTCTTCTTAAATGTCGTGGTGCTAAACAAAAATATGAATGTTCTCGCGCTGTTACCTCGAGTATTATCCTCATCTTCACCGATAAGATATCGTACTCAGGGTTGCCCAACATTCAAATAAGTGCATTGTGTTTGTATAGGCAACATTTTATTGCGAAGAATGTGCAAGAAAAATGATGTTTGCAGATTCATGCATTAAAGCAATAAATGGAATCAGATCTGAAGTTCTGAATAATCGTTTTTTTGCAGATCTCCTGGCATTGCAGTACATGACTTATGAATATATTAAATGCAATTTACATAAAATTGTGTGGCAGTAATTGGCTAGAAAAAGAATCTTGTTCGATTAGTTCTTCAATTTCGTCTCAAATAGATTATTGCTTCAGTGGGTCTTGCGTGGTACCTGTTCTTATGCTGCTGTGACCAATACCTCAGTGCTGTCTTTTAGTCCGACTTTTTCCAGTCACTGGTAGGGTTGCTCAATGGTGAGATTATGTTAGCTGTCTGTCGATAGTATAAAAAGAAATTTGTTTCGTTAATACTTCTTTGCATGGTCTTTCTATTAATGCTTCAGGCATCCTCTTAGTAAGGTCCTTTGGTGCCACCTCGGTGTAACATAAGTGCTTCGAATTCCAGTCAAGATAGTGGATTTGACAAGCCCCACCTACCTTTCGGTCTGATATATAATCTTCTGGAGATTTCATTCAATATTCCTCAAGTTCCAGACATTGTTTAAATATCTTAACTTGAAATGTATTGTATGTCTCAGAATCATTTGATTTGAGATTGTAACGAGAATTTTCTGGAATCTTTCCTTATTATTAGTTTCATTCGCATCATAGCTCTAACTATAACGTCGTTGCCAGTTTTCGACCCGTGAGGTTACCAGTTTCGGTACTGCGATATGAGCACTTTTCTAGTACATAATTCTTTCATCTGTGATTGGTTCAAAATATATTGTTATTTTAAAACTTATGATTATATGTTATATTATATTTGTTATATTTGCTTTAAGTAATGATTATCTGGCGAGTTCCACATAACTAGATATCATCTGAAATACTGAAAGCACTGGTGGCAAAAGGACTGTGCTCCTCAGTATGGTGGAGAAAACTCTCCTTGTTGGCACACTGGATTTTAACGCCGCATCGGTCAACCACAAAAGATGGCGGTGGAGGTCAGGGAGCTTGAGGATTCTTTGCGAACTTAACAGTGTGTTCTTCTGGACAGATCTCTGATGTTGTCCCAGGAATCAGCTGAGCCACTTTTCCAGTTTGTCAAAGCTTCTAGTGTTCCTGCCAACTTATGGCTTTTCGCATATAGCTATAGCTCCTCTTTCAGCCCTGGTGTTTCTTTAGTTTAATGAATATATATTTTACGCCATTTTTAACTTTTTTTTATGCAAGTTTTAGATGTTGCATAGATTTTCAGTTTTTTTTCTGAAAGCGATTTTTTTTGTAATCAGATATCTAAGTTGCAAATTAAAATTAATAAAATCGTAGAAAAATAGCCTTGAATTCAGCTTCCCATAGTGAAGTGCTGAAACGCAAATTTTTCCCTGTTTTCGAAAGTACCTAAAAATAAGAAGGAAAAGCGGTGAATTGCTGGATAATAAAATGAAATAAGCCAAAATGAAGTTTCACAAGACATTTAAAAGGCATTTTTTTTGAAATTGCATTCTAATTACTGGCACTATGGCGAATATCTTTTGGACTGCTGAATAGTGGAATGATGCGAAACGTTTTCTTGGCTAAACATCGAATGCTGTTTTGATTTTAGAAATTGGAAGCCCGTTTAGAGTCAAATTCAGGTTGAATGTCACATTATGAGCACTAAGCAGAATCTGTTCACACCAATAATTTATTATTTGATTTAGACTAATGCAGTGGTCATCAATTTTTTCCCACTGATCCCTTAAATGATGCCACGAAAATCCATGGATCTCCAGCACGGTAATTTCAGGTTTAATTTTCTAAAATATTTATTGGATTGTTTCGTACCGAAATTTTACACGAATGTAATAAAGAATTCATTTAAAATGATTATTTACCATTGAAATAGAATTATATAAATCGAATTATATTGCAGCATTTTGAATAAAATTGGTTATATAATTGCGTAAATTAAAATAAAATTGCGGAATGACAGGTTTTCTAAGAAATAATAAGTTTTTTTCTGAACATACACAAATACATTAAATTAGCAATTTACTCTATTGATAAAGAATAAAGAATGCGCCGTGCATCGCCACTCCACTGTTTGGTCTATAAAATGTCGACCAATCTTGCTTCTGATAAACTGATAATAAAGCGTGATTTTTGGCATTTCTAAGCGCTCTTGAATTGTTTTAATAAATTTTATTAAAGTCTCTGTGAAATTCAAGCAACTTCTTTGCCAAAAGCATGTATTTTTTTGCAATCACGCACGTTTTTTTTCTTATTTAGATTTAAGAATTATTTGTATGTTTGATTTGAATAATCAATGCAGTATTGTAAAATAGATGAAACATAATGTTAATGATTTGATTCACTTTGATAATTTTTTATAAAACGTATAATACAAGTTTATCTTTAAATAAGTGATGTGAAACAAGTTTATCATATTTCTTAATTAAATAGTATTTGATAGTATTAATCAAATTTAATTAAATCATAAGGCGTAATGAACGGCTTTATTTCATTTCCCTAACAGACTTATTATCAGCGCCAAATTCGCAATGATATTCCCCACGATTTTGTAGTATTTTGCGATTTTATTTGTTTCCTTCACTTATGTGCACTTTATTTTCAGTTGTCAAATACTTTTTTATCTCTCATCATTTACTTTAATGTCGCGCAATTCAGGCTCGTAACCCATGCATTTGTCGCCCATTTTATTCCAACAATGTGAATAAATTTTAATTCGCCATTAAGCAAGCAATCAATCATTAAAATAATTGCAGCAAATTAGAAACATTAATCTAATCCATTAGCCACGATAGTTGGAAGGATGGTTTAACAAGCAAACAGGAGGTGGCAAACACTGAAGCACGTTGCAGGTGAATGATTAAACTGCAGTGGATTATGCATTTTCGAAATTATCCAGCAACGAACTCACTTGAACTAACGAAGTGGCTGACTGATAGTTGCTGAGCATGAATGTTCAAATGGATAAGCTTAAAATAACCCTTCTTTCATCCTTTGATAAAATAAGGCGAATTTAGCGAACATTTGCTGTGGATGTCATAGAAATCACACCAAACACCAAACACTTATAAACTGTAATCACGAAGAGCAATATCGACGTTTAGTGTGGGCTATCTTGTCTGCGCTCGGGGCTATTTTAGCCTTTTATTGTTCCCCAAATTATTCTTAGTTGGTTGGATTGATTTTCTGTTAAAAATCCGAACACAGCAAATTTTTATGCGATTTGGAATTCTTTATTCTCTGCTCTGAGATTAACATTTCATTGTTAAAGTTTATTTTACTTTAAACTTTTAAAGTTATTTTCCCCAAAATAAGAAGAAATGATTACATTGCATGTTTATATTTATAGTGAACTTTGCACGAACAGCACTAAACGCTCCCGGAAGTAAAAGTTGGGAAGTGGGAGTGAGCGGCACATGCGAGTGAATAAGTTGGAACACAGCGAGCAGCATAAGCGACAGTCGAATTCTGAGATTTTCTGAATCTTAAATCGGCGCATTTTCGCTGTTCTTATTCTATTGTTATGGAGACATCGCATGAAAGACAAATGACAAATTGCTTGAATAACACATGGGTCGTAAAAAATAAAAAAAAATTTAAAGCAATAATGACGATGAACATTCGAGCGGAAAGATATTTTTATTT